GGGAAGTTGGCTGCAGGGAAAGAGAGAGGGCCCTGACCTACACGACCTGTTGCCACGCACATTAATCTGTTACACGAGGACCTGGATTAAGCAGCTGGTGCTGAGTAAGCCGGGGTATACCAGGCAATGGATTTGGACCTTGAATATCAATGTGGATGGCATGTCGCAAGCTGTCCCGTAAACAAGATGTCCGTCAGATGTGATAACTCTGAGGCTTGGAGGGTCAGTTGCTGGTAGGCGTTACCTGGAGTCCGAGGTAGATAGCGTACACATGTGAAACTGGTCTGGTTTGGATACTCTTAAACACAGTAATGGGTTCCTGCAAGTGTCAGACACCCGGCAGGCCAGAAAAAAAGCGAATGTGGCAGCCAATTTGTCGCACTATGTCATTCAGCCTTTTGAGGCTGTTTCACCAGTTTGTTAGATCTTGGCAACACCTCCACAAATATCCTACTCTCGTTTAATCGTTCCAGTTGATTCCAGCTTTCTGGGGTTTTCCTAGTACTCTTCCCTTATAAAAATATAATCACCACAAAACTCATTACATTTGGTCACCCCAAACTTGTGGCCAGCTGTACCGTGGCACGCAATGTTCAAAGTCAGTTCAAGGCAAACATAATTTTCTGCTTGGCTTAGATGTTCTGTATGTGGTGGTATTCCTCCTTAGAAAGAGCAGCCAGCCTAGCAGTGCGCTGAGAATCAGTCTTAGCAATGGTCAGAGTCAATGATGTCCATTCTTTTTGTTCAGTTCCTCTGCCCCTATTCTGTGGAAGTCCATCCCGGATTCCCTCCACCTTGCCCAACCCCACCCGTGCCCCTTAATTTTGGCAAGCGAAGCTGACTCTGCTTCCAGGAAGCCCAGCGACAGGTCGGTGTACAGGGAGCTCTCCCTCCCTCTCGGCAACCGCTTCCCCTGTTCACCATACATCCACCTGCTTCACTGCTTGATTCTGGTCTTCACAAATGGGTCAGAGGGAACACCCTCTGCTATACACCCAGAAGCTCAGAACCAAGATGGAGAATTTTTGGGGCACGCATCTTACACAGCACAAGTATAACCTGCATTGGGAACTTATCCTTTAAGAGAGACCAGAACAAGCAGAGTGCCCTTTGCTCCATCTCAGCACAGTCCCACAGGACAGTGTCCAAGCAAGTATTGGTGGCTACCAACTATTATGGCTATTGGTGTATCCTTTTTGAAGGAGTCAAAACAGGGAAACACGGGAGTATTAAGCAGAGGAATGAGCAGAACAGCATTGCTGGGCCATCATGTCCTGGTGGGAGATGTGATCATTTAAAGCGACGGGGTACAATGAGGTGATATAGATTAAAGGAAATTTCTCTTTGCAAGTTTAGATGGAATGAATGAGGCCAAAGGTTGTTTCAGTATCACAGAAGATTGAGTTATTGCAAACAGCCTCACGATTAAAAATAAACCAAAGGACATCCATCGTTACAAATTGTAGCACTTTCCCCATTTCCAGAGCCTTGAGGGGCCAAGAGCCATGTGCAGGGAATTGTTAACGTAGCTGGTGTAGAAGGAGCAAGTGTCACCGTTTCTCTCACCCTGAACCTCTGACAAGGACCTCATTGTAAACTGTTCCTTGAGGCTATATATGGTGCTGTCTGGATGAATGAAAGGCTGTGTTATCAGGGATTTTAGAGAAGAAAACATGATCCCTGTCAGTGAGTGCTACACTGAACCATCTAATTCAGGGGAGTGAGATCCTCCTGCCTGTGTCTAACCCTTGCTGTAGCTGACCTGGGAGTGCTGGATGGACAGTGTTGAGGGAGCTTTACTCTGTGTCTAACCCTTTGCTGGAGAGAGAGAGTGTGTGTGTGTGTGTGTGAGAGAGAGGGTGTGTGAGGGAGAGAGAATGTGAGAGTGTGAGAAAGCTGGGAGTCAGGAGGCCGACATTTGATGTCAAATCTGATGAGTGATTTACTCCACATCAGTAACCTTGGGCCTGCCTCGCAGTGATCACTAAACACGACATGTATTTTTTTTCAATTTTCAAGACTGAGGTGGAGAGATATTTGTTAGGTCAGGGTATCAAGGGAAACCTTAGCCAAGGGTTTGAAACCTTAGGCAAATTTCCTTACTCCACATGCCTCTGTACCCAGCAGTTAGTAGGAACCTGGTTGTTAGTCGATTGGTGAATTGCTTTCCAAAACAAATATACGGTCACTCAATCCACGACTGTTTGTGGGACACTGCTGTGCGCAATTGGCTGCCGTGTTTCGCCCGCAAAATATACAGTCACTACACTTTACAGTATATTCTGTGAAGCCCTTTGAGGCGCCTCAATGACGTGATAAGGCGCCGTATCAAATGCAAGAATTATTATTATTATATCATCAAGGGATATGGGGCAAGGGCGAGTAATTGAAATTCAGGCACAGATCAGTTGTGATCTAATAGAATGGCGGAACAGGCTCGAGGGGCCGAATGGCCTACCCCTGTTCCTATGTATGAGAGGGTCCAGCCTCTGCTGATGGTAGAGGGCTGTGCACACCCAGGACAGCATAGCGAGCTCCACTCACTGAGCAGCCCTAATGACAGTCATTGATAAGCAGCCGCAGTGGCTTCCTATCTTGTGACACTGACTTGCTTTGACATTTCTCGGCCCAGTTTTGGAATTCCTTTTGGCCGTTGAAAGTGACAGTGATCCTTTGGTTGGTCGGGGTTTGCAGTGGGAGGTTTTCCCGCCGCTGCTCTCTGTGTTGCTTTCGTTCCATTTTGTCAGAGATAGAGTTAAGTAATAATAATCCCTACATTTGCAATGCCTTTCACGTCAGGAAGATGTCTCACAGGGCCTGGCAGGATACGGTATACTCCTGATTACTTGACCCGGGCTTGTCACTACCAATTAACAACAACAACTTGCGATTATATAGTGCCCCTCATGCAGAGTTGCATCCCAGCAGTTTACTGTATATGTAAAGTGTAGCGACAGTGTGTTTGTAGGCACACAAGGTAGGAGCTTTGGTAATACAGAACTCTCTCAATCAGCTTGAAGTCCCATGTGGGGTTCGATCACACCATCTTCTGACCCAGAGGAAAGTTTGCTACCAATTGAGCCCAACTGACATCTTCAGACGATACGTTAAACCCGAGGCCCCGTCTGCCTGTTCAGGTGCACGTTAAAGGGAGTTTCGCTCTCCTGTTGTCCTGGCCAACAATCCCCTGAATAAATTTGGTCACTCACTCCCTGGTCATTTGTGGGACATTGCTGGGCCCAATTATGCTGCCTCGTTTGCCTCCAAATACACTTGACTGTGAAGCACTTTGAGACACCCTTCTGATGTGATAAGACGTTATACCAAAAGCAAGGATTATTATTATTATTATTATAAATATTTATGAAGTGGAGTCCTGTAGCTTAGTGGTTAGAGAGCTCGCCTCGCAAGCGAGAGAACCTTAGGCAAAGTTTCCTTACTCCACACACTTCTGTTTACATAGCAGTATGTAGGAACCCGGTTGTTAGTCGATTGGTGGATCACTTTTCCGGAGATAATAATCCTTTCAAAAAAAAATTAATTTGGTCACTCAATCCACGACTGTTTGTGGAACACTGCTGTGTGCAATTGGCTACCGCGCTTCGCCCTCAAAGTTCGCATGCTCTGAGTTCTGTAGCTGTTGACGGAATCTTTTTAAATCTTTTTTTTCTAAAAAAGAATCAAGTTATTTGGGTTTGCTGAACGTAGGGGTTACCCCGACAAAGACACCTCGAGCACACCTCCCTTGCACAGCCTGGCAAAGAACTGCGAGTCTGAAACCCGCTGCAGTGTTGGGAGAGAGAGAGAGAGAGAGATATTCATCATTCCGTTACTTGGTCAAAAGACCCATTGACAAAAGGCTCTTCTTCTGCCTGGAAGGATTTGTGTGTCTTTTCTCAGTGAGCAGTGAAGGAAGTCTCCTCCTGTGTGAATACAGATTACATGCTGGCGTGGGTGGAGGGCGGCTGCATTCCCAGGCCAGGCCACCAGAGGGCAGATTTCAGAGACCAGGAATTGGGTGCCGACAATTGCCACTTGTGTTGCAGTTGAGGTTGCGATGGTTGGGTGAGGCTGGGAATTTTGAGGGCAGCCCAGGGCATTGAACCTCCCTCCCGCCGACTTCAATCGGCCACATCAGCTCCCCCTACCTAGCCAGAGAATGTTACAGCACACAACAAGGCCATTCAGCCCATCGTGCCAGTGTGCCCTCTGGGAGAGCTGTCGTCCAGTCCCACTTCCCTGCCTTTCCCTCCCCACGCCCCCTTTTCAGATATTTCTCTTAATCCCATTAAAAAATATCAAGCGGCGTACATAACAATCTATAGCTGAGTATGTATCAGCCTATAGTCTAGTGTGAGAGACCGACACATGTATTTCTACAACCACAAGTGTTTGTATTTGAGACCCAGAGGATTTGTGGTGTGGAGTCCTGGAAATCGTGGGTTAGAAGTTGTAGTTTCCAACGCCTGGACAGCAAGCCTTCATTGTTGAGCCCTAGACGAACTCGCCAGTTCCTCAGTGTATCTCTGTTTGTACGATACATGTTCAGTCAGAGCACCCATCCGTGGTGTAATTACAATAAGTGCAAAGCAATTTACAAATTGAAAGCATTATTGTCAGTGGAATGGTGCCAGTAGACAGCGAGATGTTTTAAATCGCTGGCAATGGTGCCTGAGCCAACGGCAGAGATGGCCGGGATCTGACCACATTTTGTGGTCAAGTGTGTAGACGGGCCTCGGTGTCTGTGCTAGTGACAACCTTTCGCACCTTCACCCAACTGGGCCCAAGTCCTCTCCAAGCTCCTCTGTCTCCCTGTCTCCCAGCGGATCAAACTTCAAGACCCTCAGCCGCACCTATACATCCCTTCACACTGCAGCACCTATCTATCACTGTGTTGTGCTCCAAACCCACGCTTCTGCCCTTACTCTCCCACCTCCCCCCCCCCCCCCCCCACCCCCTACTCTCCCGCTAACCCTAACACTGGCTTCGTTCCCTTTCAGTGGCTGGTTCCAGGAACTATCTTACAGCGGGAGCGACAACTGAGGAGGGACGAGAGGCATCAAACCAATTCAGAACACAGGGGATCAATGCTGAAGGTAAGGCATTAACAAACTGCCCAATGGCAAATGCAGGTGTCAGCCTGGTTCAGATAGTAGCCTCCGCATTAGAATACTGTCCACATCAGGACTCGGAGCTCACTGTCTGGTCTGACGCTCCCCTGCAATACTGTGGGAGCTCTGCGTTGTCAAAGGAAAGCCACAAATGCCCTTCGAATGAGAAGTTCAGCGTCTGCCTGTTCAGATGGACACTGTTGAGCTCTTCAAAAAGAGAAGGCTGTTTTTCTCTCTCCCAGTGTCCTGGCCAACAATCGCCCAGTGAGAATTGATCATGGCTGTTTGCGGGCGTATTGCTGCGCACAAATTGGCTAGTGTATTGGTCAGTGCGCTCGCCGTGCAAGTGAGAGGAACGGGCAGGGCGAAACCTTAGACAAGTTTTCTCACTCCACACGCCTCTGTTTACCCAGCAGTAACCGGTTGTTAGTCGACTGGGGGAGCGCTTTCCAGGGGTAATAATCCCTAGGTTAAAAAAAGTGTGATCATTGAACCCACGACTGATTTTGGGATACTGTTGTGTGCAATTGGCTGCCGCGTTTGCCCCACAAAATACACGATCAATCCACTTTATAATGTTGTGTGACGCGCTTTGAGTCGTCTCAACAACAGGAGAAGGCGCTGTATCAAATGCAAGGGTTATTGTAGTTGTTCTTGTTGTTGGGAGTGATGTCTGTGAGGCTGTGACCGCTGACTGTCTGATTACAGAATACGCCTGTGATTTTGAGTCCGACTGTGCGTGGACCCTCTCTGATTATAGCGGAGCGGTGGATTGGTCAGTTTCCTCACCTCAGCTGCTCTCTGCAACCGCCCGAGCCGTTTATCCCCAAACCGACTTTTCAACCGGGAATTCTGACGGTAAAGGCAGACACTCGGTCAGCGTTGTGTGTCCCACCCCACCCCCCCCACACATATACACACACACTTTCTTAATCATAACCCAGGCTGACAATCTAATGCAGTGCTGGGGTTCTGCTGCACTGTCAGACATAGGTGCCGTCCTTCGGACAAGATGTTAAACTTGGGCGAGTTTCCTTATTCCACACGCCTCTGTTTACCTAGCAGTAAGTAGGAACCCGGTTGTTAGTCGATTCGCGGATCGCTTTCCAGGAGTAATAATGCATCAAAAAAAAATTTGGTCACTCAATCCACGGCTATTTGTGGGACGCTGCTGTGCGCAATTGGTCGCTGGGTTTCACCCACAAAATACACAGTCAATTCACTTTACAATATATTCTGTGAAGCGCTTTGAGATGTTTCAACGATGTGATAAGTAATACGTGATAAGGCGCTATATCAAATGCAAGTATTACTATATTGTTATTCTTTCTTCCCCATTTTAAGCTGTTTTGCCGTGCGCGAAATTGGCTGCCACACTTGCCTTCAAATACCCAGTCACTACACTCAACATCAATTCCCTGTGAAGTGGTCGGAGAAGTTCTGGCATTTGTAGAACGCGATGGCAAATGCAAAGATCGTGAATGTTAACGAAATTCGCGACTCTCTCTTTCGCAGGTCACTTTCTGCTGCTGAACTCCTCGAAGACCGATGGCAGATGTGACCACAGGGTAACCAGTCCGGTCCTGATGGGCATTTCTGAAGGGTGCCGGCTGCGAGTGGCCTTTTACCAGCGGAACGAGTCGCTCGGCAGTTTCCTGGTGCGGCTCACTCACCTGATGAACGGCTCGACCAGGGAGATCCCCGTCAGGGACTGGAGCCGATCTGAAACGTAAGAGTTTTGGAGATTTACGCCTTTCCGTTTTAAGTCCACTCCCCGCTTACTCCATTGCGATGAAACCTCACAGATGTACCAGGAATGTGGTGTCAGTCTGGCTGAGCTGAAGGCACTCTTAGCCTTAGTCAGGAGGTTGTAGGTTCAAGCCCCACGTCGGGATTTTTAACACGCAGTCTGGGTCACAAACCTGGGGCGCGATGCATTGTCAGAGATGTCTGGATGAGATGTGTGTGGAGTCCCGTAGCTTAGCGGTTAGAGCTCTCGCCACACAATTGAGAGAGGGCCTGGGTTTGATTCCCAGACGGTGAGTGACCTGGACAGTTGATATCAAATAGACGAAGAGCCTTCTTTATCCAAACCCATCTTGGGGTCCTGTGAGTAGGAATACTGGAGACGGCAGCGGTGGCTAATGTGTTACACGAACCATGTAGAGGCAGATACACCCGTGTGAGTGATGGGGTTTTGAATAAACTGTGGCAACAACAATGAGTCATACCTCAAACCTCAACTCGTGGTGAGCGTGTGGCACAGCAAATAGATCTCACATGGCATTTTATTCAAAGCCCAGTAATAAGTCAACTGATATACTTAGGGGCAGTGGTTTTGATTTATAAACACACTTTGGTACAAAAGGAATGGATTAGCATTTAAACAAATCTAGCGCCGATGTGAGTGTGTGCTTCTGTGAGTGGGTGAGTGAGTGACTGTGTGGGCGAGTGAGTGAGCGGTGTGTGAGAGTGTGCATGTCTGTGAGCCTGTGCCGGGGTTTGTAAGTCAGTTTGTGTGAGCGTGTGTACGAGTGTGTACGTTGTTGTTTTGAGAGTGTGTGTGTTGTGCGCACGTGTTTCAGTGGGGGCGCTCACGTGTAAGTCTGTGAGTGTTTTTGTGAATGTGAGAGTGTGTGTGTTGTGATGTGTCTCTGTGAGAGTATGTGTACGAGTGTGGGAGTGCATGTGTGTGTGCACGCGATTGTGAGTGTGAGAGTGTATGTGAAAGTGTGTGCGTGCGTGTGTGTGTAAGAGCGTCTATGAGAAAATGCCATGGTGGCTGGGAGCTTGCTCTATGAGCAGAGAAACCTCCAGCACAGACTAACTGTGTTCTGATAGCTTTGCCTGCAAACTACTCTACTAAGATCATGCTTAAAGGCTGAGTTGAGGAAGGCTCTTGTGGAGCATAAACACCGGCATAGACCAGTTGGGCCAAATAGCCTGTTTCTGTGCTGTATATTCTAATGTATTCTATGTATTCTAGCGCAATAGCTTTGCCTACAAACACACAGTTCACTCAAACTCCACTTTACAGTAAATCCTGTGCAGCGCTTTGAGACGTCCTCCTGACGTGAAAGTCTCTCCATCAAATGCAAGGAATATTAGTAGCGTATTGATCCAGAGAGATTGTTCCGAACACTAAACCAGGGGCAGGTGGAGGCCATTCAGCCGTTCAAGCCTGTTCCACCATTTTATTGGATTAAGGCAGATCTTTTAATCTGATTACTGCCTTTACACACAACAATAACTCTCTTTGTAAAGACCTTTCCAGTGATTTCTGTTCTAAATACTTCAATTCCAGCTAATATCTTGCAGCCCTTTGGTTTTGTGTCCAGACAAGGGGCAAAGAGAGAGAGAGATAGACCAGGAACAGAGAGAGAGGCATATACAATTGGGAAAAAACTGAACAGAATAATTAAAAAAAACATTGTCTCAAGTTTTTCGGCATTGCAACAGAGCAGTTTAACCGTCTTATTTTTAATTGTATAAAGGCTCCTGTTTTGGCTGGGGAGGATTGCATTAATACTTTGTGTAACGCACATCCCCACAGATTGAATTTCAGCTCCCTCATGGAGAACATTCATTTGATTTGTTGATTCAATAACTCGGCCCCTAGTCAGAAAATCAATGATCAGTAAAATATCCGCCCTGGCTGATTACCAAGATAGAGATTGGAAGTGTGTGTGCGTGTGTGTGACTAACAACTGGGTTCCTACGTATTGCTAGGTAACAGGCGTGTGGAGTAAGGAAACTCGCCTAAGGTACCGCCCCACCCGGGAATCGAACCTGGGTCATCTCACTTGCATAACCGCTATGCTATGGGATTTCACATGCCAGTATTTTTGTGTAATCCTTGTTCCTGTTGTTCCGCAGGGATCCCTGGAAATTGCTGTGGACGCCAGTGGGCCCAGTGGATGAGCCAGTGCAGCTGTCCCTGGAATACAGGTCCTGCCTCGGTGTAGAGAACGGGGCCGTAGCTCTGGATTCCATTCAGCTTCAAAACTGCTTCCCTGGTTCATCCCGAGAGTGCAGCAACTGTAAAGGTATAAATAACATTACACCTTAGACATCTCCTGAGCCAAATGCAGAGCGGAGAAGTTGGTCCATTGCAGCAGCTTTTTGTCTGGGTTATAATAAAACCACAATTCACACTTACAATTTACCACTCAGCAAGCTACGGCCTGCTTCATGTCCCCCGCCCGACCCACCCTAGCATCAGCGGTCAGGCTTGCAGCCTCTCTGACACCGACCTTTGGAACTCCATCCCAAATTGCCTCCGGTCTCGCCCCCACCTCTCTTCAAGGCACGTCTCAAGACCATCCTCTTCGACCTCGCCTTTAACCACCCTCCTACCCCCCGCTCTCCACCCCTCCAGATCCCAACCACCAGCTTGGGGGCAAATCCTTGATTGTCCAGTTCCTTGGGACGTCCTCCAGACGTGAAAGATACTACACAAATGTAATTTGTTGTTTTTATTTATACAGCACCTTTCACTTTGGGAGGATGTTTCAAAGAGCTTAACACTAATGGCTGAACACCCAAGCTAGGGGGGGTGGGGGGGGGGGTGGGGGAAGTGGAAATGAGGGTGGTGAGGAGGGGGAAGATGATCAAAAGCACAGACAGAAAAGATGACGTTGAACGAGGGGAAGGAGAAAGCAAGCAAGCTAGTCAGAGGGACTTCAACAACAACAACTTATAGAGCGCCTTTCACGTCGGGAGAACGTCCCAAAGCGCTGAACAGTCAGGTGTCGGGGCCCGAGCATGGGGGAGGGGTGGTGTAGGAGTGAGGGAAGACAGAGAGGTGGGAGGGAGACCAAAGGCACGGTCGAAGAGAAGGGTCTTGAGACCGGCCTTGAAGGAAGTGAGGTGAAGGGACCATGGGATGGAGTTCCAGAGTGTGGGGGCAGAGAAGCTGAAAGTCCGGCCACCGATGGTAGGGCGTGTCGGGCCGGAGACATGGAGCAGGCCGGAGCCCGATGAGCGGAGGGAGCGGGCAGGTCGGTAGGGAGTCAGCAGGTCAGAGAGGTAGGAGGGGGCAAAGCCATGGATGGCCTTAAAGGTAAGGACGAGGATCTTGAACTCAATCCTCTGGGAGATGGGGAATCAGTGGAGTCGGGCGAGGGTGGGAGTGATGGGGTCAACGGAGAGAGTTTCCGGAGAACAGGGGCAGAATGGCTGAAATTTCACTGGCTGAATGCTGAGACGGATAATATAGATTCAACAAGTACAGGAGGAGAGGTCAGCTGAGGTCGTGTCAGTGTCAACCTAGCTCAGTCGGTCACAGACCGCTGGAGGAAACTGCTCCTGAAGTAATTACAGATCACTGACCTCACTCAGAGTGATGAGTGAGGTCAATTTCCATCTTCCCACACTCATTATAAAAGTAGGCACTATCACCTTTTTTTTTAATAACTTTTTACCCTTTCCCAGATCAGTTATTCCAACAGCATGTTGCCTCGGTGCAGCGTGTGGAGTCCTGCAGGGTAGTGGTTATCGAGCTCACCTCGCGAGTGAGAGGATCCGGGTTCGATTCCCGGGCAGGGCGAAACCTTGGGCAAGTTTCCTTACTCCACCTGCCTCCGTTTACTTAGCAATAAGTAGGAACCCAGTTGTGAGTCAATTGCCAGATCGCTTGCCGGGGATAATAACCTAAACCCCCTCCCCCCAAAAAATGTGGTCACTCAATCCACAACTGTTTGTGGGACACTGCTGTGCGAAATTGGCTGCCGCATTTCGTCCACAAAATACAGTCAATCCACTTTACAATGGATATCGTGAAACAGTTTGAGGCGTCTCACCGACGTGATAAGGCGCCATGACAAATGCAAGGATTATTATAATAATAACGTACCCACTATTATCATAATATAATATAATATAATTCTTAGAAGGGATAAAGGGATATGGGGATAAGGCAGGTTGGTGGAATTGGAATAGATAAGCCATTGAATGGCGGGGCAGGCTCTAGGGGCTAAATGGCCTACTCCTGCTCCTAATTCTCATGTTCTTATGTTCTTCTAATAATGTGCTGTACTGTAGTATTTCTGCTGCTGATCCACATATCTTGCTCTTTCCTGTATCTCTGCTCTGTTCAAGGGGATGAGAGTGAAGTGCACGCGTGTACAGGGCAGGGTTCCTTCGCTTGTGAAGTGAGTGGGTGTATTGACAAGTTTAAGGTGTGTGACTTCCACCCTGACTGTCGCGGCGGAGAGGACGAAGGCACCGTGTGTGGTAAGCCACTCGTTATTGCATTACCTCCTATCCCTGTGGCTTGGCAGCTGAGGCGCTCAGGGTAACCTCTGCCTTTTAAACTCCAGCAGGCCTTCTGCCCAGGGGGGCTCACTGCTCCTTTGAAGACGATCTGTGCGGCTGGTTTACGGAAGGGAATGTGACGTCGTGGACGCTGGTCTCCTCTGGCACCATACTGGACACTTCAAGCCCTCTGCTGGGCTCCACACTGGCCGCCACTGGAGGTGAGTCAGCGCAAGGAATCGGGTCAGTTTGTGTTCCATCTGTTAGGTTTTGCAGTGTTTTGTGGGAGGGAGAGGATCAATGCTAATTATTCTAGTAACAGGAGCCAGCCACTGGCCCTTTCGAGTCGCTGAGGCACCAAGGTTCAGTCCTGAACCAGAATGGAAGTGTCCACATCCTCAACCACACCAAACACCACATGACCATCACACCAGCCATCGCCAGGCTCCACCGTCTCCCACCGATCACATCGATTTCAAGTCTTTATCTTCATGTACAAGATCTACATCCTCAGTGCACTTCAGTCACTACTCCCCAAAGCTTTGGAACTCCCTCAATCCCTCCACCTTGCCCTCTCCTAACCCTTTTTTAGATTGCAACTGAAGACCTTTCTCTTCGTCCGTGCTTATGGTCACCCCCTCCCTCCCTCCCCCCCAGCTCGGAGTCAGGCCCTGCCACTGTTAAACGTTCCTTGACTCCGCCCCGCATGAAGGGCGCTGTATAAATGTAAGTTGTTGTCGTCGTCGTTGCAAATCCATTCACACCTTTGCACCTCTTTATCCGTCTAATCTTCTCCTACCCTACCCACTGCTCCCCCCGCCACTCGACTAACTCGGGCTTGCTGCTCATCCCCCCCCAAGTCGCTGACTCAATTCCTACTCCCCAACACTCTGGAACTCCCTCTTTCTACCCCTCCGTCTCACTCCTCTCGATTTCAAGTAATGTCATGGGATCTTTAACGTGCAGGCAGACAGGAACTCACCTTAACATCTATCCGAAGGTCAGCACCTCCAACAATTCAGCGCTCCCCCACCACTGGTTATAATAATAATTCTTGCATTTGATAGAGCGCCTTATCATGTTGTTGAGATATCTCCAAGCGCTTCACAGAATATACTGCAAAATGTATTTTGTGGGCGAAGATTTGGAGGGTCAGCCTAGACCAGGGGTGGGCAAAATACAGGCCATATCCGGCCCACCAAATGATTATATCCGGCCCGTCATTGCGTCTAGCAATGGAAAAAATTATAGTTCGTTCAGTGCCAGAAAGTCGCACAAATTTCGCATTTGAATCTGACCGGGAACATCAGCCAACCACACGGCTTAGTTGTGCGCGCGCTCCCGTAAGTGTTGCATCAGGCTGACGCCAGAAATGTACGGATCGGCAAATCTTCACGGCAACTGCGGCAATACTTTTCACTGAAGAGGACGTTAGTTCGAAATGAATTTATCAAAGAAGCGGAAAGTGGACTCTGAAGACCGAATATTCAACAAAGAATGGACTTCTAAATATTTGTGTTTTACGAGTGTGGGTGGAAAATAAAATATATAAATAAAATAAAAATAAATTTAAAAATAAAGAAAATAAAAACAGTGTGCAGTTACAAAATAAAGTAAGCAATTTTGCATGTTTTTCACTGGCACTCTATGAGAGTTGTGATGTCAAAGACACAGTCCAGTTGATAATTTTTATTCGAGGTATCACCAAACATTTTGAGCTCATAGAAGAATTGGCATCAATCCAGTCAATGAAAGATACGACAACTGGAGAAGACTTTTTGGAGGCAGTAAATAAGTGTATCTTTAAATTAGGAGTGGAGTGGAAAAAATTGGCGAATGTGACCACCGATGGAAGCCCAAATCTGACAGGCAAAAATGTTGGGTTACTGAAAAGAATTCAAGATCAAGTCAAAGAAACAAATCCAGAACAGAATATTGTTTTTCTACACTGCATTATCCACTAAGAGGTCCTCTGTAAGAGTGTTCTAAAACTAAGCAAAGTCGTGGACACAGTTACGGAAGAGGTCAACTACATTCGAGCAAGAGGATTAAACCACAGGCAGTTTGTAACTCTGCTTGAGGAACTGGAATCCAAGCACACGGATGTTCTGTATCACACGAATGTAAGACGGCTTCGTTTAGGAAAGGTCTTGAAAAGAGTGTGGGAACTGATAACAGAGATTAATTTATTGTTGGACATGAAACAAAAAGATTCGGATTTCCCACAGCTGAATGATATGAATTGACTCTCTGATTTCGCACTTGAGTTGCTATCATGGGCCACATGAATGAACTGAATTCAAAGTTGCAATGGAAGGGGGCCTTTGTGCACAATTTGTATTGCAGTGTCAAGCCATTTATGATGAAATTATTTATTTTATCGCGTCAGATAGGAAATAGGCTGTTCGCCCACTTTCCAACTTTGCAGCAGATTACTGTTTATGATCAAAGCCTTAAAAAGTATGCATCGTCACTACTTGACTTACATGCCAAATTTTCTCGCTGATTCCAGGATTTCAATTTGATTGAAAATGATATGTCTTTGGTCTCTTCACCTTTCTTATTTGATGTTGACAAAGCCCCACTTGACCTCCAGCTTGAGCTTATTGACCTGCAATGTGATCCATTGCTTGTGGAGCAATTCAAATCAGTGCCACTTCCCAGTTTTTACGCCTCTCTTAATGAATATACCTTTCCAAAAATAAAGGATTATGCCCTGAGGATGCTATTGCTGTTTGGATCAACATACATATGCAAGGAGACATTTTCTGTGATGCAGTTCAACAAATCAAAACATAGATCTGTGATGACTGATGACCACCTTGCAGCAGGATTCCACAATGCAACAACGGAGATGATGCCTGACTTCAATTATCTGGTTAATGCACATCAGCGCTTTCATTCTTCCCTTTGAGTGGGCTTCTAACATTCTCATCAATACGTGAATAAACAAATAAATATCGAATAAATGTCTGCTCAATGGGTTATTTTTATTTCATCTAATTTAATGAATGTCAATTATATAGACTTTATTTTATGCATGTACAAGTGTAAGTCTTGATTTTGAGCTATTATTAAGCATTTGCATCCATATTAAGTGTGCGGCCCGCGAAGCTTACCAAAACTCATCAAGTGGCTCGCCAGCCAAAATAATTGCCCACCCCTGGTCTAGGCTGTGAGCTCAGAATCCCATATGGTCGCTGGAACCCACTACCTTCCGACTCAAGCGGGAAGTCTGAGCCAGGCCGACATGAATGTTAATGAACAATCCCAGAATGTGCCTGCAAAATGGGTGCTCTCGTGTGGAATTGAAGCAGGAGATGAGAAGCGAGGAGAGCCATGATTGTGAAATCAGGCCCTGGGCTATTGGCAGACAGAGGATTCAGATTATTGCAGTTGCTACAACCTTCATAACAACAAATAAAGTGGTTTTGTTTCTGATCACGGGCCAAAACCAACGCTAAGAATGGGAGAATTTTTAAGAACAGCAATAAAAAGTGAGCAGAGTTCCTGTAGTTCTCTGGGCTCGAGCATTCTTATTTATGGTCAGATGGCCTCCTTCTGTGCCCACAATAATCTGTGTCTTATTTCTGCAGCAGCTGTCAACACGCCAATTCAATAAAGTCAATGATATGAAGCACTCTTGGATTTATATATAAAATAGGGAGCAGGAGATGGTGTTAAATTCATACAAGATGTGGCCTTAGCCCCTGATTGGAATATGACAGCCATTTATACAGCGTAATAACTTACTCCTCTATAGCACAAATTTGTGAGGAAGAGAGAACAGCACAGACTCAATGGGGGGAGCGAGCACCAGCACAGACACGATGGGGAGAGTGCAGGGAATGGGGTTAGAGTAGAGAGCTCCAGTGAACACCAGCACAGATCTGATGTTCTGAGCTTTCTATGATTAAGGTAAAGTGAGCTCTTAACACCAGGATCAGCTGAGGGATGATTTGCCCATATCAGAAAGCCAGTGCGCTTTACAGTCCCTTCTCCTTGCTCCCTGCCCTTGACTTCTTCAAGGCCCGTCTGAAGGCCCTCCTCTTCGTCCGCGTCTTCGGTCACCCTCCTACCCCCTCCCACCCTGCCCTCCACCCGTACTGATCCCAACCCCCAGCTCGGGTACAAATCCTTGACAGTCCAGTGCCTTGGGACATTCTCCCGATGCTGTACAAATGTATTATATTGTTGTTGCCCCTGCAGTGGATGCCTCAGTATAACAGGGTTCCATAGGCAATCACTCCAGCACAGATTCCTCTCAGCCTAACCAGTCACTATTTGTTTCTTTCAACAGGCCATTTCCTCTACCTACGAGCAGAGCAGGGCAGGGGCTATGCCACGGCTCAGAGCCCCCTCCTGCCTCCCACCGCTGCTGCACAAGACTGCCAGGTGCCTTTCCTTTACGTTCAGTGTTCCTTCCGTTCGGCGAGGCACACGAGACACAGGGGCACAGCACGCAGGGCACAGCACACAGGGGCAAAGCACACAGGGGCAGAGCGTGCAGGGGCACAGCTGGTGAGCAATGCAGCTCAGCATGAAAAGCATCTGCGAGAAAGAACTCACTGACTAACAACTTGATCCTAAAAAGGCAAAGCTCTTTACGACTCTTCCCTCTGTCTGCACCACAGGTCCAGTTCTCTGTGTACATTTACGGCCTGTACAACGGCACCGTGTCCCTTTATGTGGAGGAGAACAGCATGTTGGGGAAGGCGCCCCTCATGTGGGAGCAGGCAGGGGGCTGGATGGATCGCTGGCTCATGGTGGCCCTGCATTTGCCGAACCTGAAGAGCTGGTAAGGGAAACATCAACAGCCAGCAATTACATCTCTACAGCGCTTTTCACATCGGAAAGATGGTCCAAGGCGCTGGACAGTCAGGGGAGTAAGAGCCAAGGGAAGCTCAGTGGGAAGCTCACACCGTATTCTGGTTGCTGGATTGAAAGCAGCAAATCCAGCAAAAAAAAAGATTCTTTAGCCGTTCTTAATCCAGGTACCAGAACAGGGGCAGGGAGTGGGGGTTAACTGGACAGTAATCAGGAAGCTTCCTATCCCTGAGCACAGACATTCTCAATCCACTTGTTAGCTCTCTCATCAGTTGTCTCAGCACAGATGCAAATCAGTTGATCCCCAGACATCATACTCAGGCTGTATGTTGGAGAGCAATGAGGATGGTCCTCAGTGATAGAGGAATGAGCTATAAGCTATAATCAGACAAACTAGGGCTCTTCAGTCTTGAGAGAACATATCTCAAAGGGGATTTGTAGAGGTGTATAACATTTTAAAATGGATTTGGAAAAGTAAACCCGGATCAATACTTTAGGATGCACTAAAGACAGAAGAACAGGATGAGGTAGGTTATTGAGTTGTAATGGGCAATTTCAGAAGAGTCACCAGTTGTTCTTTACCCAGAGGATAATGAACGATTGGAACAGGTTGCCAGGAAGGGTGGTTGAAGCCAGGACACTGGACTTACTTAAAAACTAGCTTGATGCTGTGATGGGAGGATGGTAAATGCTCTGGGACACTACCTTGCCTGAGGGGTGCTATATAAATGCAAATTGTTGTTGTTGGTGGTGATGGTGAGGTGGGTGTTCTGGAGGGATGAGATGAAATGGGTCGAAGGGCCATCTTCATCCAAACCGATTTCGGAATCGTGTAGTGCTTAGTGCACTCACCTCGCAAGCAAGAGGACTCGGGTTCAATTTATCAGGAGGGATGAAACCTTAGTCAAGTTTGCTTACTCTGAAAGCGATCCGCAAATTGACTAACAACCGGGTTTTTACTTACTGCTAGGTAAACAGAGGCGTGTGGAGTAAGGAAACTTGAGTTAGATTTTGCCACGCCCGGGAATCGAACCCAGGTCCTCTCACTTGCAAAGTAAATGCTCTAACCACTGCTCTACAGGACTCTACACCTTACAGGGTTAACACTCAATATCTCCTGACCCCAGGTTCCGGCTGAAACTGCACGCCGCTTGGGAATCCAGCTCCGCAACAGACATCGCTTTGGACAACATCACCTTCGGAGGCACTTGCTTTTTCCCTGGTGAGGAGCCAGGGCCTGAACTCATGATGTGAAATGTTAATGCACTCAGGTCCCGGAGAGCTCTGCAGGGAATGTTAACTAACAGCAGGCTTATGCCACTCTTTCTAAATCACCTCCAGGAGTTCACTGCACACTAAATATGTTCCCCCGAGTGTTGTTTTATTGCAGAGCAGAGAGTTTCCTCTGTTTTTTCCAGCTCTATTCCATATTTTTCCATCAATGCATTACTCAAATCTGGTGTTGCACAGTCTGTAATGTGTAAATACTCTCTCTCTCATGCTCTCTTTTTTTCTCTCTTTATCTCTCTATTTTTTCTCTCACTCTTTCCATCTGTTTTGGCCAGATTGTATTTTTCTTTGTGTGTATCTTTCACTCTCCCTTTGTCCCTCTCTCCTCTGCCCATCCCACATCCATCTCTCTGCGGCTTTCTGCCAGGGATTTACTCCACTCAATGACGTAGATTTTTTTTACAGCCTCCAGAATTTGGCAAATTGTTGAATTCAGTCTTGCCTTTGAAGCCAGTTTTGTGCAGATCGTAAAAGACACTTACAGAAAAGCAGCTTCAAAACTAAGGCTGAATTTGCTCTGAAATATTATGAGGAAATCCAGAGTGAGGTGGAACGTTACGCCTTGTCTGGTTTACTCACAATAGTAATTCCTGTGGAGCAATTTTTAGATTTTTGTTTCGGTCAGTTGGGTGTCCGAGGAAACTTGCCACCGTGCTTAAGAGTATCCAAACCAAGCTGAGAACTCCAGGCATCCCACCAACACATGGAAATTCCAGAGACAGATTATTGGAATGGAGCGCGCACTCTCTCCCAGGTGTTCTGGCCAACACTTGGGGCTTGAACCCACAACCTTGAGACGCTGAGGCAAGAGCGATACCACTGAACCAGGTTGACGCACAAGCTTTGTAGCCTTACATGAATAAACGAGCTGCACTTTTGGATTTCCGCTGTTGTGTTGTGTTAGTGAGGGCATGTCCCTGTACGGCTGAGATGGGGAGCTCCTGTTATGCCGGGATCTCAGCGTCCCCACGCTGGTTTTGCCGAGTCTGGTTTCTGCTCGAATTTATTCTGCCTTTATCGCCCACAGCAGGGAATGAAGCCTTGTCCCCGGAGGATGATGTCTCCGGCGCATTGCATCAGCCCGAAGAGCTGCCGTTGCTCCTTCCTCTGCCAGAGCAGGCTCCATCAGGTAAGAGCTGTGCAATAACAATAATAATAATAATAATAATAATAATCCTTGCATTTGATATAGCGCTTTTCACGTTGGGAGGACGTCCCAAAGCGCTTCACAGAATATACTGTAAAGTGAATTGACTGTATATTTTGTGGGCAAAACACAGCAGACAATTGCACAAAGCAGCGTCCCACAAACAGTTGTGGATTAGGTGACTTAATTTTTTTTAAAAGGAATTATTACCCCTGAAAAGCGATCTGCCAATCGGCGAACAACCGGGTTCCTAATTACTGCTGGGTAAACAGAGGCATGTGGATTAAGGAATGTTTCGCCTAACATTGCCTAAAGTTTTGCCTTGCCGGGAATTGAACCCAGGTCTCTCACTTGCGGGGTGAGTGCTCTAACCACTGAGCTACAGGAATCCATGTAATACCATACATGTGTATATTTGTGGGCGAACAAGCCTCACTTCGGAACCTTAAGCTGATATGTCCACAGACCAGGAGATCAGCCTGTTTCCAAAGACTCCATTCGGCTGCCTCCGGTCTCCTGCATATCCCTCGTTCCCTCTGCTCCACTATTGGCGGCTGTGCTTTCAGCCACTGCCTCCCAAAATTCTGGAACTCTCTCTTTCAGACCCTCTGCTTTGCCTCCTCCTTCCCCATCTTCAGATCTCACCGGAACACTCTTTGACTGTGACTATGGTCACCTCCCACCTCCCCCAAGTTTACAAAGAGTTGGGGTATCATAAGGCAATTCATGATATTCTGGGCCAACAATGGTTTACTTATCAACCGGGTGCCTGAAATATATGGGAAACAATCACCATTGCTGAAGATTCTTCAAACCAAACTACTGAGGCTTCCACGTACATATGCCACCTACGCAAGGTGCTGAGACTCACCTACAAATCCCTTCATGCTCTGGCACCTCCCTACCTCTCCGCCCTGCTTCCTCCCGACTCCACCACCCACCACCTCCGTTCGGCTGATTCTAGCTTCCTCCTTGTCCCCTCCACTCTACCATCGGTGGACATGCTTTCAGCCATACCCTGAGACTGTGAACTTTCTTCCTCAGACCCTCTGCCTTGCCTCCCCCTTACTCACTTCAGATCACACCTGAAGATCTTCTTCTTTGACCATGTGTCCCTCTCCCCGGCTCAGTGTCAGGCTCCACCACTGTTAAGCGCTCAGAGACGCCACCCCACGTGAAGGGCACTATAATACAAATTCATGTTGTTGTTGTTGTTCTCTAACACTGATCCATTGCCTTGTGATTATAGACTACTCAGACGTGATGTGGTTGTTCACCTCGTGCGGAGCCAGTGGACCCCATGGTCCCACTCAGGCTCAGTGTAACAACGCCTACAGACGCACGAACATGTCCGTGCTTCTGGGGACAAAGGGCCCACTGCAGGGGGTTCAGACCTGGCAGATTCCAGTCACCAGCAAATACATGTAAGCTCGTCACCCTGCCTCTATCGTCTCACACTCACACCAGGCACTGACTGACGCTGACACTCGCGGTTCTGAGCGCAGGATGGGCACAGATGAGGGTGGCCCACTCGCCCTGTCTGATCTCATCCTTTCAAAATCCCGACCCGACCATCATCACAGTAACAAACTGCTTCTTAAATGAGTCCGGTGTCCCAGCCTCCATCACCTTTCCTGCTAAACCAGTTCTCAGTGTAAAGAAATACTTCCTGGTCTATAATAATAATAATATATTATTATTATTACCAGGAATAATTATAATAATAATTATTATTATTATCCTTGCATTTGATATAGCGCCTTATCACGTCATTGAGACGTCTCAAAGACATTCACAGAGTATATTGTAAAGTGGATTGACTGTGCATTTTGTGGGCGAAACGCGGCAGCCAATTGCTCGCAGCAATATCCCATAAACAGTTGTGGATTGAGGGACCAATTTTTTTTGTTTGTTTTATCTTTTTGAAGGGATTATTACCCCAAGAAAACGATCTGCCAATCGATTAACAACCGGGTTCTTACTTACTGCTAGGTAAACAGAGGCGTGTGGAGTAAGGTTTTGCCCCACCCTGGAATCGAACCTGGATCCTCTCGCTTGTGTGAGGCGAGCGCGCTTACCACTACGCTACAGGACACCGCGTCCTCTACGGGTACCCAGCCAGCTGTGTAAAGCACTTTGAGATGTCCTGCTGACCCTCTAGATATGTGCGTATTGTATGGTACTGATCCTCTCGTGCCCCAGTTTTCACTTCAGAAAGTTCCTCTTCTCCGCAGAGTTTCGGCTTACGGAGCCGCCGGAGGTAAAGGAGCCAAGAACACAAACAGGAGGTCCCACGGAGTCTTCATCTCAGCCATCTTTCACTTCGAGAAGGGAGACAATCTCTACATTCTAGTGGGACAGAAAGGAGAAGATGCCTGTCCAGGGGTATGTTCTGGGCATCAGAACACACACTCTACACACACACCATACGCACACACACACTATACACACACATACACCATACACACATACACACACCATACACACACACATCACACACACACACATTATACACACACACACCATGAACACACACACCATACACACACCCACACACCATACACACACGCACACCATACACTCACACACATACCATATACACATACACACACCACACACACACACATGCCTTACACACACACGCCAGACACACACACACCAGACACACCCATCAAACACACACACTAAACATACATACACAACACACACCCTCCACCTTCCCCAACCCCGATCCCCAGCTCAGGTCCGAAGCTTGGTCTGTCCAGCGCCTTGGGACGTCCTCCCGACGTGAAATGTGCTGTACAAGTGTAATTTTGTTGTTGTTGTTCCTGTAGTCACGTAGTGTAGTGGTTAGTGTGCTCGCCTCGCAAACGAGGTTTAATGCAGGGCGAAACCTTTGGCCAGTTCCCTTACTCTACGGGGCTCTGTTTACCTAGTAGTAAGTAGGAACCTGATTCTTAGTCGATTGGCAGATCGTTTTTGCAAGAGTAATAATCCACCCCTAAAAATAAATTTCGTCACTCAATCCATCACTGTTTGTGCGCAATTGGTTGCCACATTTCACCTACAAAATACACAGTCTCTTCACTTTACAATATATTCCGTGAAGTGATTTGTTACGTAATAAGATGCTATATCAAATGCAAGGGTTATTATTATTAATCCCACCCAATGGTGACATGCAATATCTCAAGACAACTGGACCGCACCTCATAAAAACTTCAGTAACATCTCTGCTTTTTCCTTGTAGAAGAACCCGGTGACCCAGAAGATCTGTTTGGGAGAGTCGTCCATCATTGAAGATGATGACCATGCCAATGACGAAATGTTGCAGTGGGCAGGAGGTGGAGGAGGAGGTGGTGGAGCTACCTATATCTTCAGGGTATGAGCTCTTTGTTACAGGAGCTGTTGTGTCTATCAGAGGGAGTGTGCGAGTTATTTCTTAAGCACATCGGCTCTTTGCGCAGAACATCTCCACAAGACTGGGCAAGAGGGATGAGATGGAGCAGAGAAGGTTGAGATGGGGCCTGATAGAGGTGGACAAAATTATGTGGGGTTTCGACAGAATGAATAGGGAGAAGCTATTTACACTGGTTGGGGAGACAGTGACGATGGGCCATAGATTTAGCAGAGTGAAAAGAGGTTTTTTTCACTCTGAGTTATTGGGATGCGGAATGTGCTGCAAAGAAAGGTACTGGAGGCAGAGACCATTGTGGGTTTCAAGAGGGAAGTAGACAGGTCTATGAAAGATAGAGGCTTGAAGGGGTGTGGAGATAAGGCAGGGTTGAAAGAACAGTCTGCTCTAAGAGCTGATGCAGGCTTGATTGGTAAAAAAAAGCCTCCTTCTGCGCTGCAAAATGTCTATGATTCTACGAGTCAAGAGGAAGTGGTCAGGGTTTGCCCAGCTTGTGTTATAAAAGCCTTTTGGTTGTAGGAGGAAGGTAAGATTGAGGGAGATGATTTGAGACCCTGGAAAGACAGTGGTAGAGTAGGAAATGTTAGTTCAAATCACAAATCACAGTTAGTTTCAACTCAGTGAGGATGTAGAGAGGTGGAAGGGCACTCTCCCTCAATCCCTCCACCTTGCTCCCTCTTCCCCATCTCTGGGTCGCACCTGAAGACTTGCCTCTTTGACCTTGCTTACGGTTACCTTCCCCCCCAACTTAGCTTTGTGCTCCGCCACTGTCAAGCGCTCTGGGACGCTACCCTGCACGAGGAGCGCTATATAACAAGTTAATGTTATTACCAATGCCTGTTATTACCAACTGCGTTCTGCTTTCCTGTACAGATGGTGAAAGGGGCTCCAGAGTTGCTGCTGGTGGCTGCTGGAGGGGGAGGAAAGGCCTATATGGAGGATCCAAACAGCTCTATGGATGACACATTACTGGAGCAGTATGAAAATGACACATTAGCGCCTGGAGTCAATGGTCGAATCGGAGCAGCAGGTTAGCACACACAAAGCGCAGGGTGTTCACAAAGTCCTGTTACCAGCCCCACGTTATATTTTTTTTCTCTTTCTACAGTAGCACTGACTGTAGCGTCTGACTGAAGCATGCGCAAGAATGATGATAATTGTACTTAGAAGTACGTCATTGTAATCAGTACAAGAGTTCAACTGTATTTTAGACGAACAGATGATCGGTGTGAGTGAGTGCCAACATTTTCGTGGCAGATAATGAACTCTCGGCTCGCTGGTCTTCCCAACTCTTCCTTCTACAAGCTGCAGATTATTCAAAATTCTGCTGCTAGTATCCTCTCCCGCACTAGGCTTTGCGAGCCTATCACCTCCATTTTCGCCCGGCTCCATTGGCTCCCCAACCCCAAAAGGATCGAGTTCAAAATCCTCGTCCTGACTTTTAAAGCTCTTCACTGGGTTGACCCACCCTATGGTTCTAAGCTCTCTGAAACACTACCCTGGATGGAGGGCGCTATATAAGTCCAAGTTCTTGTTGTTAATAGTGCTATGGGATCTTTAATGCCCCCTTGAACAGGCTGACTGGACCTCAGTTTAATGTCTTATCTGAAGGACGGCGCCTCTTGAAAATGCAGCACTCCCCCACCACCCTCCCCAGGACTGAATTGGAGTGTCGGCCTAGACTGTTGGCAGAAAGTCCCCGACATGGGCTGAACCCACAACTTTCTGATGAAAATTCCAGTTATTGGATTGAATCTCAACCCTGTGGTAGATAAATAGAGAGAAAAGAGCTAGGGGAGAAAGCGTGAGATTGATGAATGTTCATTGACATCACCTCTGCTCGGCCTGTGGAGTTTATTTAAGCATTGCATTTAATACAGCACCTCTCACATCGGGAAGAAGTCTCAAAGGAAAATTTACTGTGAGGTGTAGTGACTGTGTGCTTTGTCGGCAATCGCCCTTACTTTTAACCCTGGTGTATCTTCTTGTGTTTCTACCCCACATCTGAGCCATGACCCACTCTGCCTTCCCCCACCTCCGCAACGTCCCCCGGCTCCGCAGGCCACCGAAACCTCATACACGCCTTCATTACATTGAGGCTCAACCATGCAAACTCATTGCTTGTCGGCCTCCCTAACTTCTCCCTCCACAGGCTGCAGGTCATCCAGAACTCTGCAGTCCGTGTCCTCTCCCGCACTAGGCTCCGTGACCTTATCACTCCCCCCATCCTCGCCCGACTCCACTGGCTTCCCATCAAAGAGAGGATACAGTTCAAGACCCTGGTCCTCAACTTCAAAGCCCTCCATGGCCTTGCTACTCCCTACCTCTGCTACCACCTAACCTCCTACCATCCTGCCCGCTCCCTCCACTCAGTGGGCTCCGGCCTGCTTTACGTCCCCCCCGCCTCGCTCGCCCCACTATTGGCGGGCGGGCCTTCTGCCACTCTGCCCCCAACATCTGGAACTCCACCCTGCAGTCCCGCCGCCTCGCCCCCTCCCTTGCACCTTCAAAACCCATCTCAAGACCCCCCCCCTCTTCAACCGTGCTTTCGATCTCCTTCCTCCCCCCATGCCCTCCACCCTACCCAACCCCGACCCCCAGCTCAGGTCTGTAACTTTGTCTGTCCAGCGCCTTGGGACATCCTCCCGACGTGAAACAAATGTAATTTTGTTTCTGTTGTTGTCCTGACGACTTTGTCCTGTGTTTGCAGGAGGAGGCGGTGGTTGGAATGACGTGACCAAGCTGCCCTGGGCTGGGAAGTCGCTAACGGAGGGCGCTGAGGGGGGCTCTGCCTGTCCGCAGGCTCTCGAGAAACTGTACTGGGCAACCCACGGGGGTTTCGGAGGAGGAGGTGGTGCGTGCACAGCTGGAGGTGGAGGTGGTGGTTACAGAGGTAGACTTGTTCACACTTGTTCCCGTGTCCCACATCCCCGTGTTCCGCATCTCCGCATTGCTGCGTGCCCGTGTTCCCGCATCCCCGTGTCCCCGCGGTTCCGTGTCCCTATGTTCCTATGGTCCTGTGTTAATCTGTCAGGTGGAGATGCCGCTGAAGTTGATGAACTGATGGCAGATGGACTCGATGGGATTTCGTTTATCAATCCAGTTGGAGAGATCTATATTCACCCATTGGCAGGTACAGCAGTGAGCAATTCTGTCTCTCTTTCACAGTGTGTGTGGGTGTGTGGCTCCCTTTCTTAAACACACATTGTGTGTGTGTGTGTGTATGTGTATGTCTCTCTCTTTCTCAAACACACGTTATGTGTATGTGTGTGTCTCTCTCTTTCTCAAACACACATTGTGTGTGTGTCTCTCTCATCTCTCTCTCTCACACACACATCGGATGCATCTCTGCCTCTCTCTGCCTGCAGCCATGGAGAGTCATGGAGAAGTTGATATCCGGATTCACATCAACTGCAGTCACTGTGAAATGGACCACTGCAAGCGGGACTTGGATTCTAAGCAGATCCAGTGTCTGTGTGAGAATGGCAAAGTCCTAGCCAGCGACAATGTAACATGCACAGGTAAGGAACACATTGCAAGTACAGTAAGTCTCCATTACCGCCCTGTCCAATACTCTTACTGTTGGCACAGGGTTAGGCATGACACTGGCCACAGAACAGATAGAGAGGAAACTAGGGACAAAATAATATTCTGTTTCCAGGCGGACATTGTAACTGGGCGAAAAGATCTGGTCTAATTAATTCTTTATAAAGATTGTAAACCCATTGGTCGTCAGCAGAGGAACTTTTCCTGTCATTGAAGAGATTGGTTTCACACCCACTGTTCCGTTTCTTCCCTCAGTTCCAAGTACTTCCCAGGAGGCAAGTCATCACCTCTCTCTCTCGCTCGTCATTGCTCTGGTCACGTCCACCATTGTCACAGGGGTATTCCTGACCTGTGCTGGGCTTGCTCTCAGTAAGTACCTCGTAATGAGCCACACAGTTACACTCTCACCCACCAGTTATACCGACTTTAAGATTCGCTATTACTGTAGTAGTTGGTTGGCTTTGTTAGTTTTTACCAGGTAGAGTGGTTGAGGTTAGGACATTGGACATTGGACATTGACCAAACAGCTTGATGCTGCAATGGGAGGATGTTAGATTGGCTGACTAGGTATATTTGACTCTCTACCAGTGTTGAGACCAGGCAACAGTAACGACGACGACTACAACAAAAACAACAACACGTTATATGTGTATTACGTCTTTCACTTTGGTAAGATGTCCCAAGGCAGTAAAGAGTCAAGGATTTGGACCCGAGCTGGGGGTTGGAATCAGGAGGGGTGGAGGGCAGGGAGTGTAGGGTAAGGAGTGTTACCAAAGGTGTGGTCGAAGAGGAGGATCTTGAGACGGGCCTTGAAGGAGGCAAGGGAGGGGGTGAGGCGAGGGGGCTGTGAGATGGAGTTCCAAAGGGTGGGGGAAGAGAAGCTGAAGGCCCGACCCCTGATGGTAGGGCGGGTAGGACCAGGGATGTGGAGCATCGTTAGTCGAGCGGAGGGAGCGGACAGCCCAGTATGGAGTAAGCAAGTCTCAGGGTTAGGGAGGAGAAAGACCATGGAGGACTTGTACAGACACTGTGTAAAATCACAGAAACTTCAGCACACACATCCATTTACTATGAGTTCGAGTCCAATGTATCTGGTGGGGATCAGTCGGGGAAGATAAGAGCCGCTGTGACTGGAGGCTTGGGGCGATGTGGCCTCTGAGGGAAGAAGACTAGGGATGATGAAAATATAATGTAATAATAATAAATAATCCTTGAATTTGATATAGGGCCTTATCACGTCTCAAAGCGCTTCACGGCATATATTGTAAAGTGAAATTTGGCCACTCACTCATTGGCTGGGAAACTGCTGTGCGCAATTGGCTGCCACACGTTTCACCCACAAAATACATGGTCAATCCAGTTTACAGTATATTCTTTGAAGCGCTTTGAGGCGTCTTAACGACGTGATAAGGATTATTATTATTCTTTATTCCGCCCTCTGCAGTTTATTATCGTAAGAACAACCAGCTCCAGGCAGTCAGGGCAAAGCTCCAGAGCCCAGAGTACAAGCTGAGCAAATCAGGACTTCCACCATCATGACCGACTATAACCCAAACTACTGCTTCGCTGGCAAGATGGCCTCCCTCAACGAGCTCAAGGAGGTGCCCAGGAAACACATCTCCTTACTGCGGTACGTGCTGTTTGCTCTAGTCATGCAGTGTAAGTCACAGATTGTACAGGGTGTTCGCAAAGTCAAGCTGGACAGAGTGAGTTTGACAAGGAATCTGACTTATCCCTGTTGTTGGGACTCTCTGTGACTTAGACCCCAGTGACAGCCGTCCTGATGCTCGTCCTAATGCTGCATATTGTTATGTTTTCTCTGACTTTTTGGATTGGGCTCCACCACTAACCAAGCATTGGTTCTGTTCTCCAGGGCACTTGGTCACGGGGCTTTCGGGGAAGTATACGAGGGTCACGTTGTGGGAATCGGGGGTGAATCTGTCCCTCTGCAGGTTGCAATAAAGGTTAGTGAATGACTTCATATTCAGGTCACTTCTTCCCTTGATGCCTGGCTTAGTGCCTGCCTGGCTCAGTTGGTAGCACTCTGGCCTCTGAGTCAGAAAAAAAGCGGGTTCAAGCCTCACATAGGGAATGGAGCTTACACTCCAGAATGACACTCCAGTGCAGTCCTGGCAGAGTGTTGCGTTGTTGGAGATGCCGTACTTCGGATGAGTCATTAAACCAAGGTCCCGTCTGCCTGTTCAGGTGGACGTTAAAGATCCCAATGGCACTATTCGAAAAGAGAAAGGAGTTTCTCCCTGTGTCCTGGCCAACAAATCCTCCAGATAAAATGATCATTCACGTCATGTCTGTTGTGGAACATTGCTGTGCCAAATTGGCTGCATTGTTCACCCACAAAATATAGTCACTCCACTTTACAATATTGTACTAGCAGTCATAGGTCATAGTCATGTGCCTTGAACTCACAAGCTTCCAAAGCTGAGAGTGCTACCGACTAGTGGAAACCAGGAACTCTCTCCCCCAAAAGACTGGGTGCTGTATCAATTGAAATTTTCAAGACTGAACTGGATAGATATTTGTTCGATAAGGGTATCGAGGGATATGGAGCAAAGGCATGTAAATGGATGTGTACATACAGATCAGGCATGATTTAGCATGGCAGAACAGGCTCGAGCGGCTGAATTGCCTACTCCTGTTCCTCTGAGCCCAGCTGACTGAGTTATGGAGCTCTCTGAGCCAGTTTAGGTCAATCTTCAAATTGAACATTCCATGTAATAAAATAATTAATGCATCTTCCTCTTTCAGACTCTCCCAGAGATTTGCTCAGAGCAAGATGAAATGGATTTCCTGATGGAGGCTCTGATTATAAGGTAAAGCTCCAACACTCGGGTTCTTTATTCCCTCCAGAGTCTACGCAAGCCAGAAAGCCTTCACTCTGTATTCAGGCTTAGGAACGAACGTAGGAATCGCTAGTCGATAAAGGACCAAGGTCCATCTGGTTTTTGATGTTAATGATTAAGTGATGCCATGAGCAGTGGGTTTGGGGCTATGAGCGGTAGAGAACAGAACTCTTCAGCGCAGAAAATCTCTTCAGTTCTGCCTTAACTCAGAAGCTGTTTTGCCAGCAGCAAAAAACAGACTAAATTTAAGAATTTTCCCTTGTTCCGAGCCATCTGTGGAGTCCTGTAGCTTAGTTTGCTCGCCTCGCAAACGAGAGCACTTGGGTTTGATTCTCTGGTGAGATGAAAGCTTCAGCAAGTTTCCTTACTCTACATGCCTCTGTTTACCTATCAGTAACAACAACAACAACGAAAGTACACTTATAGAGCGCCTTTCACGTCGGGAGGACGTCCCAAAGCGCTGAACAGTTAGGTGTCGGGGCCTGAGCATGGGGGAGGGGTGGTGTAGGGGTTAGGGAAGACAGAGAGGTGGGAGGGAGACCAAAGGTACGGTCGAAGAGAAGCGGCTTGAGACCGACCTTGAAGGAGGCAAGGAAGGAGGCGAGGTGAAGGGACTGTAGAATGGAGTTCCAGAGTCTGGGGGCAGAGAGGCTGAAAGCCCGGCCACCGATGGAACACGGTTTTTAGTCAATTGGCAGATCGCTTTTCCGGTGCTAATAATCCCTTCAAAAAAATGATAATAATACTCAATCCACGACTGTTTGTGGGATACTACTGTGCGCAATTGGTTGCCACGTTTCGCCCACAAAACATACAGGTAATTCACTTTACAGTGTATTCTGTGAAGCTCTTTGAGACATCTAGAAGACATGATAAGGTGCTATATCAAATGCAAGAATATTATTATTATAGTTCGCCTTCCACCAATACTCCAGCTGAGGTCTAACCAGTGACTTATAAAGGGATAGCAGAACTTACTTGCTTTTGTACTCTATCTCTATTCTGATGATCTTAAATCGAAGACAGTTGGTCCTGCAAGTTAGGAACCGGTGGTCTTTAGAACGTGTTCCATAAGCGCTCTGAGATGGCGACCGGTATGAAGGGCGCTATATAAATGTAAGTTGTTGTTGTATGTGTCTCTATGTGTCTCTTTGCTTCCTTTGCAGTAAGTTTAACCACCAGAATATTGTGCGATGTATCGGAGTGAGCCTGCAAGCCCTGCCCAGGTTCATCCTCCTCGAGCTCATGACTGGAGGAGACATGAAGACCTTTCTCAGAGAGAACAGGCCAAAAGCTGTAAGGAATCCAATCACAGTTGATCCTATGAAGGGCTCTGAGACGTCCTCCTGACGTGAAAGGCGCTGTATCAAATGCAAGGACTTTGTGATAATACAGAGCAGTGTCCTTCCAGCTGAGTCACAGAGGGTGCTTGGTTACACAAAGACGGGTTGACACAGTTAAGCTATAATTACACACTACCTGCCTCCAAACATAATATCACACATGCAGCACAATGTACCTGCTACAACCCATCTAGACTGAGTGCTGGGCCAACCTTACAACACGAGGTACATTGTAGTGTCAGTGAAACTAACATGACGTCTCTACTTCACACCCTGTTGTTTTTCCCTTGGCCGGATCGCTGCCTGTTTTTTGCACCTATGCTTGCCCCACGCTGGCTCGCTGACACAGTGAGGATAGGGAGAGGGAGAGCTCGATACAGCTGCTTCTTTTACAAGAAGTGCAGAAAGATGGCCTCAAAGTTAAGAGTGAATTCAACGTCAATTCTGGGTGTTGTGAAGCACTAAGAAAACCGAGTAACTCTCAAACCTGGTTGAGTTTCTCACAATTTATTTTTATACACCGACTTTCCACGTATCAGGAGGACATCCCAAAGCACTTCACACAAGGGAGCCCGAGCTGAGGGGAGGAGAAGGTTGCCAAAAGCACAGTTGAAAACGTAGGTTTTAATGAATAAGGAAAAGCCACACAGACCTTCATGTCTTGTTATTATAATAATAATCCTTGCATTTGATATGGGGCCTTATCATATCATTGAGACATCTCAAAACAACAACAACAACAAGATTGCATTTATAGAGTGCCTTTCACGTCGGGAGGACGTCCCAAGGCGCTGGACAGTTGGGTCAGGCCCCCAGCAGAGGGGAAATGGTCAGGAGGAAGGGAGGGAGCGAGGAGTGGGTAGAGAGTCGAGAGGAGAGCTGAAGGCACGGCTGAAGAGCAGAAAACGCTTCACAGAATATACTTTATAGTGGATTGACTGTGTATTTTGTGGGCAAAACAAGGCAACCAGTTTGCGCACGGCAATGTCCCACAAACAGCCATGGAGTGAGTGCCAATTATTTGGGGAACCTTCAGAAATGACAGTGCTACCACTTGGCCAGACTGACACAAATGCACATAGACATTACCCAATCCAATGCTCCAGCCATAAGAAAATCTCCTGGAAAATAAAGCTCATGACATTGCTGCCCAGCTCTGAGCGACTGAAGCAGATTATTTAATCCCCATCATTCTACAGGCAACACATCCAACATCGGAAACAGTCTGTTCTCTTATATCCTGTGTTACTAGGAACATAGGAATTGCTAGACGAAAAAAGACCATGGTCCACATAGTTTACCTTCTACCATTGCCTCTGCTCGGCTGACCTTCTCGTCCCTCGTCCCCTCTGCGCCACCATCAGCGGCCGTGCTTTCAGCCACCATGGCCCGAAGCTTTGGAACTCTCTCCCTCAATCTCTCCGCGTTTCCCCCTCCATCCCCTCTTTTAGGTCACACCTGAACACCTTCTTCGATCATGCGTAAGGTCACCTCCTCCCTCCCCCCAGCTTGGCACTGTTAAACACGCCGAGACCCTGACCCACATGAAGGCTGCTATATAAATTCAAGTTGTTGTTGTTGTTGACATGTTTTGCACTTGTGCCCTCTCGAGTGGGTTTGTGGTAATACTATGCGTGCTGTACATATCTTCGCATTCCAAAGACCTTTTTGTCCATTTCGTAGTTACTTCCCTCATGTGATACTGGTGTTAATCTAGACTGACCTGAAATTGTCAGCTGTGCTGTTAATGCTATTGTATTCAGAACTTTAAAGAAATGCCATCTATCTCACCCATAACATGCTTTGCTTGTCTCTGTTTCAGACACAAATATCTACGTTGACGATGCTGGATCTCCTGAGCATGGCCAAGGATATAGCTTGTGGATGCAAATACCTGGAAGACAATCACTTTATTCACAGGTTAGACATGCATATCAGCAAAGGGAATTTCATTTCTGGAATGAAGTGTTGAGCCTAATACCTGCACTGTGTCGTTGATGTGTTGCTCGGCTCAACTGGAGCCAGGGGAGGCTAATTTGGCTCTGTCTACCCAGGATTAGGGAGGTTAAAATCAGTCAGGTTTACAACAACAACAACAAGATTCCATTTATAAAGCGCCTTTCACGTCAGGAGGACTTCCCAAGGCGTCTGCTTGGTACTGCTCCTGGTCTCTCTTAAACTCCTCATACTGGCAGTGAGATCAAGACAGGATGCATATTAGCTTTCAAGAAGGAACTAGATAGATATCTAGTTATAAGGTTCTGGGGAAAAGGTAGGTAAATGGGACTGAAAGGATTGCTCTTTCAAAGGGCCAGGCAAAATACGATAGACCAAATGGCCACTTTCTCTGAGATAAATTTCTGTGGCTCTGTGGTTTTCTAATGCAGTAAACCTCAGCTTAAGCTCCCCTGGAAATCCACTTTGACTGAGTTCGAATCCCGCTAGCAAAATACAGCTTATTCGCTATCTTTTGCTCACAGGATTCAAATCCCAGCAAATCCGATCATTGTAATTTCACTTAGCTGGAAATTCCAGCTCACTAGACTGGATCTCTCCTCTCATTCATCCGGTCAGCCAGGGGTTTGGTGTATCGTACTTTACTGTGCCAGTCTCCCCTTACAATAGGGAACAGTCTCTCTTTCTCTAGTCTCCCCGCATTATATTCTCCTTTTCCCCTGCCTCACCCCCTGCGCAGTACGTCGCTCTTGTTCATCCAAAAGCCGGCACCTCTGATGATGCAGTGCTCCCCCAGCACGGCACTGCAGCGTCAGCTTAGACTCTGAATCCCAACCTGCAACTTGAATCCACAAGCTTCTCGCTCAGCAACGAGAGAGAGCTACCTCCTGCCTCCTTTACTCCTCCCTCTCCACCCCAGCTCGGTGTCGGGCTCCCCCATTGTTAAGCACTCCGAGACGCTAACGCTGCCCCGAGTGAAAAGCGCTAATTAAGTCCGAGTTGTTGTTACTGTTAACTGAGCCAGGACGTTTTGAGGCTAGGGATCAAATTTCTGCCTTTAAAATGTTGTTGCATTTCACCTTGAAATAGTAGGTTAGATTATTAACACATGTAAGGATGGGCTTGCTTTTGTGAAGAGAGCCCTGGAACTTAGTGCACTGCGCTGCCTATCGGGAATACATGGGGTCAGAATGTTCCCAATGCCTTTTTTTTAATGCCTCCATGTCTCCTCTTTGCAGGGACATCGCAGCACGAAACTGTTTACTAGCTTGCACTGGAGCCAGTCGTGCAGCCAAAATTGGTGACTTTGGAATGGCTCGAGACATTTATAGGTGTGTAATAAAACCTTTTCATAGTACCATCTGAACTCATAGTGCAGGCATTTCCTTATGTTGTACATTGCTAGTTGGCTTTGCATCTCAAAACGTCCCTATCCAAGTTCTCAATGCCAATCGTCAGTAATCCACACCTGGATTTAATAATCCTTGCATTTTACACCGTGCCTTATCCCTTGAGACGTTTCAAAGTGCTTCACAAGATATACTGTACTGTATTTTATACGCAGCCAGTTTGCACACAGCAGCACACAAGTGTCTAAATTTATTTGGCCGACTGTCGGCCAGGACATCAGGAGAAACTCCTCTTTTTGGATAGTGCCATTAGTAATGAATTGCAGCCCCACACATGGAGTTAATAAAAATAAATACTTGCATTTAATGCAGAGCCTTAACCATGTCATCAAAGGGTCTCAAAGTGTAAAGTGTAACGCCATGGGATCTTTAACAGCCACCTGGTCAGGCACAGATGAGACCTCAGTTTAGTGTCTCATCTGAAGAACGGCACCTCCAACCATGCAGCACACCCCCAGCGATGCATTGGGGCGTTCAGCCGAGACTGTGTGTTCAAATCCCAGTGATTTAAGACTTGTCTACCGGACTAATTGTGAGGATTACCGGGGTTAATTGACACTTAACTTGTTTTCAACCTCCGAGAGACGACCCAAACACGAATTCTAGAGCAAAGCACTATTCTTCATCGTCTTACATTTTAAGACTAAACAGATTCACAGACTAAAACGAGGTGGAATTTTTGTAAAGCGGATTAATAGCGCTGGCTGTTTGTGGGACATTGCTGTGCGCAAATTGGCTGCAGTGTTCATCTACAAAAATACACAGTTACTCCGCTTTATGACGCCCTTCCAATGTGAAAAACTAGCGTTAAATAGGAACCCAGTTGTTAGTTGATTGGCAGCTCACTTTCCGGGGATAATAATCCCTCAAAAATCTCTCATTGGCCACTCGATCCACAACTGTTTGTGGTGGGGACGGTGTGGGTGAAACCTTGCAGCCATTTGCACATTTGCTGTGTGCAAATGGCTGCCAGGTTTCACCCACACAATACAAGGTCAATCCACTTTACAATATATTCTGTGAAGCGTTTTGAGGCGTCTGAACAACGTGATAAGGCGCTATATCAAATGCAAGGATAACCATTATTATTAAAAGTGCTATATCAAATGGAAGGATCGTTGTTGTCATTGTTGTCATTATTGGCAAGAACCATTTGTAAATAGAAGAAACTGGGAAGGATTTGGGAAGGATTCCTTCCTTGTTTGAATAATTGACCTTTGAATTACTGGACCCCCTATGCTCACTGATATTCTCCTTAATATGGCTGTCTATGTAACTCCTCCTGTCTGTGTAATCAGGGCCAGCTACTACAGGAAGGGTGGCCGGGCCATGCTCCCAGTCAAGTGGATGCCTCCTGAAGCTTTCCTCGAAGGAATCTTCACATCGAAGACAGACACATGGTAATTAAAGTATTTGTCTCTCGAAGGCACTTAGACGCAGGAGGTCTAATCTGCGGAATCTCTTAACTAGATCCGTTATGAAGTATTCTACTCACCTCTGTTTACCTAGCAGTAAGTAGGAACCTGGTTGTTAGTCGATTTGCGGATCACTTTTCTGGGGGTAATAATTCCTTCAAAAAAAAATAATAATCCACGACTGTTTGTGGGACACTGCTGTGCGCAATTGGCAGCTGCGTTTTGCCCACAAAATATACAGTCCATTTACTTTACAGTACATTTTGTGAAGCGTTTTCAAATGTCTCGAAGACATGATAAGGCTCTACATCAAATGCAAGGATTAATTAACAATTAATTAACTGATTAATTATTATTAACACTGATCGGCAGGAGGCCCACTCTGATTGGATCACCAGCCGGGTTCCTGTGGGTCAGCCAGACTTGGAGCGGGATTCCTTGGTGAAGAATCCCATTAAGAAACCCTGCAAACTAGAACCCCCCCCCCACCCCCTCATTGTTGTGATTGTGCAACCAAGGAATCACCTGTTGCATTTCTCCTTCAATTGGACAGTCAACTCCTTATGCCCTGTCAGAAGATGTTCAGACCAAGATGTCTGCGTGATCGGAGCTTTCTTGGACATCCTGTGGAAATCCTTCCATGGAAATCCACTGCGCCCCCCCCCCCCACCACCGCCTAGACTGGTTGAGTTCAAAGTCCTGAAGTTGAGCTTGAACTCCTAATTCTCAGAGGCGAGAGTGCTGCCAACTGAGGCAGACCGACACATGACATGCCAAATCCATGCTAATTTTCATCACCATTTATCACAGGTCCTTTGGCGTGTTGCTGTGGGAGATTTTGTCTCTGGGATACATGCCATACCCCTGCAAAAGTAACCAGGAAGTCTTAGAGTTTGTAACCAGCGGCAGACGGATGGATCCTCCCAAGAACTGCCCAGGGCCTGTGTGAGTATTGCTCAGAGACGGTTATTCCAGGAATCTTAGCATCTTCCCGACGTGAAAGGCAAAATATAAATGTAATTTGTGGTTGTTGTTGTTGTTGTTGTTGTTGTTAGCATCACTGCAAAGAATCAAGACCCTCTTTCTACTCTGTTTTCCAAAGAGGAAAGCTGAGGTCAGATGTGAGGGTTCTCACATGGGAGCTGTTACTGTAAGAGTCTAGACACTGAGCCACACTGCTCAGTGTGAGGCTCTTGCTGGTTCAGCATCCATACACAGGTTGCACCTTCAGTTGGTTTCCCTGGCTGGCAATCAGGCCGTGTTCAGTGTTGAGGTCTTACTGGGAGCCAGTCATAACATCACTGTTGCTGGCAGAGAATAATACCACTAAACAGTGAGCCATTAACTCTTAGAGAAACTATCATATCATTCCTACAGTGCTTTTCACTGAAGAATCTTATTGGGGGTGTTTAATAATGAGTGTTACTAAACAATGTTGCTACATACTGTGTTAATAATGTACCTGTATAGTGCATTAATAATGCAACGTTGTAGTGTTTAGTGGTGGAACTGAATAGTGTTTAATAGGGTAACTATATTTAGCATTCTCATTAAATAGTCTGTTGTGAAGTGACGCTGTAACGTGGTTGGGTTGCATTGGGTTGGGTTGCGTTGAGTTGGATTACGTTGAGCTGCGTTGGGTTGGGCTGCGTTGGGTTGGGCTGCGTTGGGTTGGGCTGCGTTGGGTTGGTGCGTTGGGCTGCGTTACGTTGGGCTGCGTTGGGTTGGGTTACGTTGGGTTACTTTGGGCTGCGTTGGGTTGGGTTGGGTTGCGTTGGGTTGCGTTGAGTTTGGTTGCGATGGATCAGGTTGCATTGGGTTGCGTTGGATCAGGTTGTGTCCAGTCGGGTCAGGTTGAGTTGTGTTGGATCGTTTTGGGTTGGGTCGGGTTGTGTTGAATTGGGTTGGTTTGGGTTGGATTGTGTTGAGTCGGATTGTGTTGGGTTGGACGGAGCTAATAGTTTGTGGATGAAAGTCCGTGCTGGTTATTGGTTTGTACTCAGCCTTTACTGTTATACATCTCAAATGAATAGGGACAAAAGGTGGTTGAGGCTAGAACACTGGACTCATTCAAAAAGGCAGCTTGACACTGCGATGGGGAGACGGTGGGCGTTCTGGAACGATGAGATCAAAAGAACCGAAGGGGTTTCTTCATCCCAACCGATCTCATGATTAAATCATCTTCATGTCTTTCCCCAGATACCGGATCATGACCCAGTGCTGGCAACACAGGCCTGAACATCGGCCGGATTTCGGCACAGTTTTAGAAAGAGTCAATTATTGTACACAGGTACTGTGTGTGTTTGAAACAGCGAGCGTGCAAGACTGGAGAAATCGCAGCGCCCTGTGGCACTGCTGGGAGCAAGCCCGTGTAGACACTGATTGATAGGCCTTATTTAACAATATGCTTGATGGTGTCATGGTTAAACAGTACGGTTGGGTTAAGAGGAGAGGCTACAGCAGCTGGGAATGTTCATACTTAAGAGACAATTTGGTGGATCTTATTGAAATATTCACGATTGTAAAATGTGTTGATAAACTGAAGCCCGATAATGTAAAAAAAAACACAGGGTCAGTTCAGGAGAGGGAAGGCAAACAGACAACAGCCTGTACTTAATAATAATAATCCTTGATATAACGCCTTATCACGTCGTTGAGATGTCTCAAAGAGCTTTACAAGAATATATTGTAAAGTGGATTGATTGTATTTTGTGGGTGAAACGCAGCAGCCAACTGCAAACAGCAGTGTCCCAGAAACAGTCATAGATTGAGTGCCATTTTTTTTTAAGGGATTATTCCCTCAGAGAGCAATCCGCTAATCGACGAACAACCAGGTTCCTACTTACTGCTCGGTAAACAGAGGCGAGTAAGGAATATCAGCTAATGTTTTGCGCCACCTGGGAATTGAACCCCGGGTCCTCTCGCTTGCAAGATGAGTGTGCTCACCAATAAGATACAGGACTCCACTACTTATACAGAGCCTTCACACAAAATAGCATCTCAGAGCACTGTGACTGGGAATGGTGAATATGAAGGATGGTCAATCACAGAGGTGGAGGCAGCAGGGAATTCAAGGCAGAAGCAGGTAGCTCATTTTGAAGGACGGATTGGAAGATCTCCAGAGAGGGGGAAAGAGAGAGAGAGTGATGTAGAAGTATTTTAGTTGACAATGGGGAATGTCTAGTGTGATCACTGTCCAATATCTGTGTGTCTGTGTCCCAGGATCCAGACATCATTAACACGTCCCTCCCTGTTGAATACGGACCCACCTCAGAAGATGAAGGAAGTATAATGATGCGCCCTGAGAACTCCAACGGAATGGCGCCCCTGCTGGTCAGCTCAAACCTGACACCTCAACTGTCTCAGATCTCTGACCGCCTGTACCCTAATCAGAAGGTCCACCGTCCGCAGGAGCTGCCAGTCAGAGACAGCCTCAGCAGCCCGATGGAGAGCAGCACCCTACACCCAGCCCATTCAGCAGTTCTCATGGCCGGACAATGGCTGTACCCAGACCCCGGCCACCAGCCACTCAGCGAGCCCAAGTCTCAACCAGCCCAGCGGCTGACCAACAAGCCCAAGACCTTGTGGAACCACACGTACGGTTCTTGGGTGCCTGAGAACTTCAGCAGGTCTGGAGCCTTGGGAGAGGCAGATGAAAAGCCACCAGCCACCCCCGAGCGGGAGGACTCGGGGTTAGATTGTACCAGCAGCTCGTCCCCAAGCTCCCGAGAGTCTCGGTCTCCAGGCAACCACTACTCCCCCTCGGAGATCAGCAGGGGGGGCCCCGCAGGGAAGCCCCAGACGTTCCCTTGCGGCAACGTGAACTACGCCTATGATGATGGGGTGCAGGTGTTGCCGGGCTCTGCCGACAAAGACGGCTCCCGGGAGAAGACGTTACCTCTCAATAAGGTGATGCACTTTCTCTGCAACCCAGAGAAACCAGCCAGGGATCGCGATTCAGGCCTCTCACTGTCTGAGGACCTCAGCATCACCCCTGTATAAAAGGCAACTCACCGAGGAACTCAGGCTCCACACTTTGCATGGGACATTCAGGTTCAGTCTTAATTTAAAACAATAACATTCCCATTTGCCTGGCAACGGCCTGGTTTGTCAAATGCTGTCACTCAGAAAGTGTCAGTGGGCTTGGAGGAGCTTGGGCCAAGTTCCATGGGGGTTGAATGTCTATTGCATGCTGATAGACATGAGGTGATGATATGGAAACAGTCACGTAGGTTGAAGGTTCGTTGTGTCCGCACAAAGCTGGGGGCCAGTTTCCAGCCACTTAGACAGGGCTGCAAACCGATCTCAAGTAGTCAGATGGTCACAGTCTGTGTCCCCTGAAGGGATTGGAGACAACAACAACAAATTACATTTGTACAATGCCTTTCACGTCGGGAGGACATCCCAAGGTGCTGTACAGTCAGGGAATTTGGACCCAAGCTGGAGGTTGGGATCTAGAGGAGCCAGTGTAGCTCTCACCCTTTTTATTAACTCCTTTATATCCACCATTTCCTTCCAGCACCAGCTGCCAAGTTTTCAGTATCCTTGAAAGAGATGGGACAAAGGGTGCAGAGCATTGATTGTAGTCAGTGATGAGGAGGATGGGAGACAGGCTACTGGAGAGGGAAAGAAATCAGATCCAGGAAACTCAATGTCAGGCTGACATCGAGATCAGGTAAATAGATGGGGCTGGTGTTAGGGGTGGGGTTGGAGGAGGAGGTTTTACAGCAGTAAATCAGCAGCGGTCACAGTGGATGGAGAAGGGGAAGATGGTGCTTGACGAACCTTTCTCTTTCAGGCCGTTATAGAGAGAGTTAGGAGCGGGGCTGGTGTGACTTTGTGATATTGCTTCCATTGGACTTTCATTAGAGTGAACCACAAGCTCCAATACCCAAGTCAGGATGTGGCCAGGGTAAGAGGGTGGAGAGATGGGAAGCAGAATATGGGGGTATACGCGGAGTAGCTGCTCCAGTTTCGAACCCATATAATAGTCATTGTGAACTACTCAAATCTGCTTCTGCCATGAATCTGTGGGGAGGAGGAAAGACAGGGGAAAGCAGCAGAACTGTTGGAGGATTTGGATACAATGTGCAATTGGTCAGACACATGGAATTTACAGTGAGGAAACAGGCCTTTCGGCCCAATTAGTCCATGCCGGAAATTAAATAGAGAAATGAAATGAAATACAAAAGTGACCTAACACTGTGCATCACAATGATTGGGATTGAGTCCTCAGAGGGGGCTACATTGTTAGAGCCCGGAAACAGGCCATTTGGTCCAACCAGGCATACTCCACACAAGCCCCCACCCCTTCTATTCCCCTGACCTCTCTCTACCTTTCTATTCGCTTCACCCTCACATGTATCCTGCCAAACAACTTAATATCTTCTGCTTCAACCCCAGCTTCTAGCAGTGAGTTCCACAATCTCACCACAGCCTCTGCTTTTCTCTGGGAGGAATGATACACTCTTTTATATGTTAGGACAACGTAGAAATAATAAGCCTTGCATTTGATCCAGCGCCTTTCATGTCAGAAGGACATCTCAAAGCGCTTCACAGGAAGCACTGGAAAGTGGAGTGACTGTGGTCCTCAGAGAAGCCATCCATCATAATGCCCTCTAATTCACTGCCTCGGGATGAAGTTCTCCAATTATTTTACATTGACCCTGTTGTGACAGCCTCTCCTGGCAAGTTCAGTCCCCAGGAAAGACATTAAGCGACTCTATCCAGGATAGCTAATGGCACAGTCTGTAGTTAAGATAGCACAGATGCACAAGCTCTGACTTTCAGCCTTGGTTTTGTGTTTATGTTTGGTCCAGTTAGTGTCAAATAGGCTGGCCCATCACTATCTCTAATCCCACTACCCATGATTGACTCTACTCTACGGTCCAGAAAATCCCATCTCCACACAAACTTTGAAGCCATTTCTGTCTGACACCCTTACCGAGCCTTGTCCTACAATAAGACTCTCTCCGTCCCTTGCCCACGAAACCCCTTTCCCATCACTGAGAGCTTCATTTAATCACCCACCACCTGGCTCATCTCATTCCATGCCAGGGGAAGAACAGAGTGAACGTCATTCAGGGGGAGGATTTCAGCCAATGACTGAATAGGCAGGAATGTAAGGTTCAATACACCAAGTTCTGAGCTCAATTCTTCTAGATAACACTCAGCAATGCTTGAATTCATACAATACAAATTTACATCTTGCAAATTCATCACAAGATTGTCTGGATGAAGAAGGTCTCTTTGGCCCATTTGATCTCATTCCTTCAGAACATCCGCCCTACTCTTCCCCCCATCACAGCATCGACCTGTTTGCGATTCCCAAGTCTGGACTAACTCCAGCACACAGTGAGAGCTGTTTCAGGCTATGCTGGCTCCTGCACTGGCCTCTGGTTAGTACGTCCCCATGGATTTGTTGATGTGCAGTTCAATTACATTGACCTCGAGACACAATGTTCCCAGAACAGGGAGGCCACACTGGAAAGGTTCTGAGAGACACATTACAGCTCAGTAGATATGTTAACATTAGCTGCTCTTAGAGAAAGAAGAGTTTGATGTAGTTTCTCTTCAAGGAAATACCGATGCTGTGAACTTGTATGTTTTTTACAGGCCTCTTTAAAGGCCAGTTTAGTTTATTTAGACATTTGTGTTATTATTTTAAGGAGTACCATTGATTCTACCTTGAGAAGGGGAGATGTGGATGAGTATTGAGCAGATGTAAACATGAGTTAAATAGATAGCAACCAAGCCATCACATTCTGATGACCAGTGAGGTCAATACTGCTGATTCCAGGTGGCTTGGTGGAGCGATGAGTCAGAAGGACCCAATCTGGACCCTGAGCCAAACGCTCTCAATACGCTGCTTAAATTCCAGCAGTTACCACAACTCTCACCCTCGGGTCTCAAAGCCTTGGCTCTCGCCAATCCGCGCCTAATGCGTCCCTCCAGGGAGAGTGAGCATTCCGTTCCAGACACAGGGAAGTCTCCAAATGCAGATGATATTGCTTACATATGTGGAACTCTCAGTCTGGTTTGGATACTTTAATAATGATAATAATAATCCTTGTGTGTGATATAGCCCCTTTTCACGCCGTTGAGACGACCCAAAACGCTTCATAGAATATATTGTAAAGTGGATTGACTGTGTATTTTGTGGAATTACCATGGATACTTTGACACACAGCGTAAACCCATCTCCACGCTTAAGACACCCGGCTGACAAAACAAAAGCACCGTCTTGTTCCGTTCTAAGGCGGGCAGTTTGCGAGCGAAAGGCATTAGGCTCTTTATATTGTGACTGAACCGCACTGATGGCGTTTTCAACCAACGAGCAGAGCACTCAGGTTTGCCCTTTGCCAGTTTGTCTGCCCCATGAGGGTTCCTTAGGTGTGCTGCACATACTGATGAACCCTGCTGATGGTCAGTCTGGAAAGGCTCGGAACTGAACTGATCAATTAAGACAGAGACAACTGCTTCTGGCCAGCGAGGTAGGAGAGAGTTCCAGCTGGCCTCAGCTGCTGAGGGGGTTGGAGATCAACCAGAATTCCTGTACGCACTTAGTGTCAGATATTTAGGTTTTACTGTTAAAAAAACACTGCCAAGAGAACATTGACTGCAAAACAGGCTGGTTGATGGCTGTAATGTGTTACTTACTGGTAAACACAAACCTGTCCAGCGGTAAACCAGGTAACTAGCATTGTGGTGGTCTTTCTCTGAGTGATGAACGAGCTGGTTAGCTCACCGGCTCAGCTACACATCACAGGCTAAGATATTCTTATGGCCAGTGAGGCCCAACACTGCCCGTTTACAGGGGCTTTTGGCCATTGTAACTGCACAAGGTCACTATCAGGCAGAATATCAGCCCAATCTGATACAAGGTACCTACAGTGAATCAGAAGTCCTTATTCCTAGAGTTATTAATTATTGATTATGTTCCTTTTTTAAAAAAAGATGACATTGATAGAGAGTGTCTTTCATCGCGCTCGTGAAAATGTTTGTCACTGAGTTGATGCGTGTAAATATCTACGTGGCATGGGCAGTTTGAACATCTCATACAGACCCATGAGTAAGGAAGGACTTTTGATTCACCCTGTATAATGGGACTAAGATCAAAAAATGTGACTAAATAAAGCCCCCTCCCCTTTGGGTGGCAAACTGTTTCTGGTCACAGCCACTGTATACCCTCTATCTCAGTACAGAGAGGGGTGGGGGGAAGATACAAGGCTTTAGTGGAATGAATTGAGTGAAAGATGCACTGATGGATAGGTATTGTGCCCAGTGACCGTGTCAGAGAGGGAAATGCCACAATGGGAGATTCCCCAATTATTTTTTTTAATCTCCTTGGTTACTGCTAATGCTGCTTTTGAGATGATCATACACTGACCGATCTACGTCAAGCTTTAACCCTTCACCACGAGTGAATTTAGAAATTGTACCTGTAATCCACAACATTAAATTGCTACTTACCCTTCATTTCCTTTGTCTTGTGCTGTTTCTTGGAGACTGGTTATAACTGTGGGGAGAATCATGACGGTGTTTGACTTTGGGACTCGAGAGCAGTGAATTCTGATTAATATTCCTCCCTCGTCAAAGTCAACCCCAAATACATCGGAACTTTACTCCATCGCTGGCTCAGGTTAGCTGTCTGCACAACAGTCATTACACTTCAAAGTAACTTTATGATTAATAATAATCCTTGAATTTGATATACCGCCTTTCATGTCAGGTGACGTCTCAAAGTGCTTCACTGATTATACTGTAAAGTGCAGTGACTATGTAATTTGTGGGCCAATGCAGTAGCTAATTTCTGCACAGTAATGTCCCACAAACGACCATGGAATGAATGACCGATTTTACCTGTGGGGCTGTTGGCCAAGACAGCAAGAGGAAATCCCTTCTCTCTTCGAGTATGAGATTTTTAATGCCTACCTGAACAGAATGGGAACACAGTTTAATACCTCATCAGAATGACGGCATCGACAATGCACTCACCTCCCTCTCCCCTGCACTGTATTGGAGCATCAGCTTCGACAATATGAATTCCAATGTCCTAATACTCCTTTTAGCTAAACATGTACCTTTTTATTTATTCCCATATTAGCACTGGAATAGAATCCCTGTCCCATGTTCCTGTGGTTGAATGTACTGTAATAAGGATTCTGTAATTTGTTGGAAGTGTGAAGCCTATTTAGGTTGAGAGGCCGGACAGCTTTATAACCCCAACTTTTTTTACTCTTTGATTATATTTCCACTTTTCTCCCTGCTGGCAATGCCCCTGGTCTGGCTTCTCTCTCTCTCTTTCTCTCTGTCTGTCTCTATCTCTCTGCTCCTTGTCTGATCTCCTCTCACTGCGGTGTGGGTCCGCAGGCACTAGTTGTCCTTGTCCCATTTGTGAGTTGACCTGTGAGCCTTGGTAGTGAGTGTCGACAGGTCACTCAAATATAGAGAGCGTCACAGCCCAGCTTGACCTCTCCTCACCCAACTGACACACTTGTGCACAAGCAGTAGAGGGTGCACAAGCTCCCAATCTGTAACCCGTCGCCCTCATCAGTAGGGTTGTCCCACAACCTCTTTTTAAAAAAACAAAACATTAAATATCATTTGAATATTTTAGTCAGAAATAGATTTGTTATCAATTACACCAAATGAGATTGCGATGCGTGAAAAATATGATTTCGCAACCCGTCTCCCAACTCAAGTCACACCTAATCTCTCCAATTATCAGTAGTGTTAGGTAAATGTTCAGCACAGTGACTCCACTGGAAGGAGATTCAGTCCACAGTTCACACTCTCTCATCACCTGCCACAGAGAGACCCGGATTGATCCACATTAATGGGCCATCTTCCACCAACCCCACCCAACTCACACAAGTGGTTCGATGCTTTGACTCACTGTTATATCTAAGGGAGATTTGAGTTCAAGTTTTAAGTCTTGTGAAGGTCCGTTACTGGATGGGATGCAGAAACTTCCCAATTTGGTTCCGCTCCAGATCAGGAACAGGATTGAAGGCCGATTGAGATCTTGACTGAAAGGAATGGTGGCACTTTCTTGTAGCCTGGCGATGCTCTCGCTAACTGTACATACAGTGAACGCAGCACCAAGCACTGCAGCACAACAGCCTGTGCCCGCGTCAGAACACAGCACCACAAGCACACGCACAATTGGACCACGAGGCATGTTGATGTCAGGTACGTGTAGATTCAGGAAAGTGAGAAGCATTCCAGCTTGTGTTTCTCTCTCACCGTGTCCATCTCAGTTTTTGTCTAGATCTCCTCACTCTCCGCCCAGTATGTTTATAAAGGGTCATTCGGAAGTGAGAGAGGAAACACACACACGCGCGCGCTCGATGATCGCTGGTGTGAGTAGGGCTGGTGTGAAGAGTTAGTGTGAGGGAGTTCCAGTGTGAAGATTTCCGTGTGAGAGATCTCGGTGTGAATATTGCCAGTGTGAAGATCACTGTGTGAAGTGTTTCAGCGGGAGGAGCTCTGGTGGGAGGAGCTCAGTCTATCGCCAAATGGTCCATATCCCCCGGCTGCCCCACTTCCTGACCCTGAACAACATCAAGTAAAACTCGCTCTCCCAATCTCTCTGCAGCACCAATCACCAAGGGTCAGCGTAGAAACCTCATACCCTCACACCCTTTCTCCCTTTGTTCGTTCTCCATTTGTCAAACAGACAGGAGAGTGAGTCCTGGTCCACCTAGGAGTCAGTTAATATGGCAGCTATGATGTCTATCAGGTTGTCCAGACCCCACAGATAGCCGTCCTCCCGGTTCCCTTCCTGCCACGGAGTCCTGTGGTTCAGAGTCTGTCCGCTCGGTACTTTCGTGGTTTTGCCAAAATCTATCAACCAAACCTTTGCCTTCTCGTTTTTGTCGTGTATGAAGAGTAAGGAGCTTCCAATGACCTGCGTAAGAGAACTCAGTCAAACCAGGGCCAAGGAGACAGAGTCGCTATCAATTCAATTGAGAAGTTAATGGGACAGATAGTGCAAAGGTTCACAGAGGACATTGAATAGAACCATAGAATCTTACAGCAGTCACAGAGCTTCCAACTAGTCGCACTCCCCCGCTCTTACCCCCACAGCCGTGCAAATTTTTCCTTATCAAGGAATTCCCTTTTGAAAGCTATTATTGAATCTGCTCCCCCCTCACCCTTTTAGGCAGTGCATTCCAGACCGTAACAATTCTCTGGCTAAAAAAATTTCTCCCAGAGAAATCTCCTCTCCCCTCTCCCCTCTGTTTTTTTTGTCAATTATCTTAAATACGGGTACTCTGGTTACCTGACTTTAATTTTTTTTAGAGTGTGTCAGACACCGGCTGATCACGGCGACGGGTTTCCGCACGTGTCAGACTGCAGAAACAAAGTGATTTCACTGGCTACCAGCATGGGGGAGACAGACTGTTCCCACAGGGTCTGCTGCTCACGGTTTCTCACCTCGTGCCTTCTGAAGAATTCCGACGATTCCAAAACTTGCCGGATTTTCTGCAGCCTGACCAGGTAGTTTTTCTAAGAGTAAAATAAAGCAGATGAGTTAAAACCTACCTCAATAATAATAATTTCGAATAATCCTTGCATTTGATATGGCACCTTATCAGTTGAAAGGACGTTTCAAAGAGCTTTAAGACTGACTTTCAACTTAACTTTTTTCTTAAATGTTTAATTAAAATTTTTAAAAAAAAAATAACAATGGGAATGAATGCAAGACTGTGTGAGTTTTCTCCACTGACCCAGGCTCCTCAGTTTCAACTTTTAAGCAATTAAACTGTGCTGAACTCGTGATGTCAGACAGTTGTGGGGCTGAGGGTAGAGAAGAACCTTACTGTACATCAACAACAACTTGCATTTATATAGCGCCCTCCAAGCAGGGTAACATCTTGGAGTGGGTTAACCGTGGCGGAGTCTGACACCGAGCCGGAGGGTGAGGTGGGAGGAGGAGATGATCCCATAAGCACGGTCGAAGAGGAAGGTCTTCAGTCGTGAGGGGCAAGGTGGAGGGATTGAGGGAGAGAGTTCCAAAGCTTCGGGGCGTAGTGGCTGAAAGCACGGCCACCGATGGTGGAGCGGAGGGGACGAGGGACGAGCAGGAGACCGGAGCCAGCCGAGCGGAGGCGGCGGGTGGTGGAGGTGGGAGAAAGCAGGCCCAAGAGGTAGGGAGGTGCCAGTGGGGGTGAAGGGATTTGTAGGCATTTGTATGAAACAGGTGTCACATTCCGAGCCACGATTCCCGTGGCACATTTACCAGGATATTCTTGTTGTTCTCGACAAAGTCTTGAAAGACCTGAAGAATCTGCTCCTTTGTTTTGGTCCGTTTGAAGTTGGTGCTGCAATTCCCATCACTCCTCTGTAAAACAGGAGCACATCAGCTCAGTCACTGCCCAGCGGAGCAGCCAGCCAGTGGGGGAAAGTGGCAGCATAGGAATCCCTTAGCGTCGTGGTTAATCAATGTTTCCATGAAACACTTTTGATGCATCAACATTACAGCAGCCGTTTCGATATCATACATAATAATCCTTGTATGTTAATGCAACGATTACTACACAGACAAGGCGCAGACAAGCAGCCGTTTACAGAGCCAATGCCCCCAGAGGGTCCCAAGTGACTCAGTAGATTAACTCAGACCTGCGATATGTTGTAGTTGTGGTTCGTTGCCACGAGATGGCAGAGTGCTTCCAAAGTGCTAAACGTACACCCTGGGAATTCAGCAAACTCCTGATAACTCGACCTTGCCTTAACTTGGCACTGCCTCTTAAGTCATCATGCTGTCAATGTCCCGGCTGCAATTATTTATGCATTTATACATATGCCTAACTCACCACTGCTGGTAACTCGTCACTGAGCCCTATTCCCTTGGAGCAACGAGTTATCAGGATTTTATTGTATAGATTGCAGAAACAGGCTGGTAATATAATAATAATAATCATAATCCTTGCATTTGATATAGCGCTTTTCACGTCGGGAGGACGTCCCAAAGCACTTCACAGAACACACTGTAAAGTGAATTGACTGTATATTTGTGGGCAAACGCGGCAGTCAATTGCGCACAGCAATGTCCCACAAACAGTCTTAGATTGAAAATGACCAATTTATTATTGTTTTGGTTTTGGAGGGATTATTATTAGGCTCTGTGTGGAGTAAGGAAACTTGCCCAAGGTTTCGCCCTCTGCCTGGAATTGAACTCAGGTCTCTCGCTTGCAAAGCGAGTGCTCTAACCACTGAGCTACAGGACTCCACCAGATAATAATAATCCTAGAATTTGATATAATGCCTTAACACGTCTTTGTGACATCTCAAAGCCTGTCACAAGAATATACTGTAAAGTGAAGTGACTGTATATTTGAGGGCGAAACGCACATAGAGAGATGTACCCGGCAGTACCATATACAGGGCAGTACACGCAGATACCGAGAGAATGTGCCCACTTAAAAAAATCTAAATCAGCAGTTAGCTGTGATGTGTGATCCAGTTAATAGCAGAGTAAGCAACATTGGGACTGTCTGACTCAGCCCATAGGGGAGATTATGCATAATAATAATAATAATAATAATTCTTGCAATTTGATATCGTGCCATATTACATCGTTGAGAAACCTCAAAGCTCTTCAAAGGATTTTTACTGTAAAGCACAGTGACTGTATTTTTATGATAGCTAATCTGCTCATAGCAGTCCGAATGGTCTGTAGATCTGTGTTCGGAATCACTGGCTGTGCCACTGTTACACTGATAGCATCAGGCTTGTACAGTGAAATCATGGAGTCAGACCTTGATGCCTTCGATGCGAAAGCCGAGTGTGACTGTGGAGCTCAGTGTCTCTCTCCACTGCATGTAGCGAGCTTTGACCACGGCCTGCTGTGTGTGCTCCTGTGGCGTGGGAGCCAACGGGTCCACCTCCACCATCTTCTGGTACATGTCCGTCCGCAGCCTGGGCTTCTCGTGGGCTTTCATCAACTCCTCCTCAAGGTACGTCCTGCTCAGCAAAGGGAGAGACACAAGAGGTGAGGAACGGGCTGGTCTCTGGTCTGGAGAAGCTCACTGTACCAAACTACAGAGCCACCCACCACCCCTCCACTCCATGCCACTACACACCCACTCCAAACCACATCACCTCACCACAGTACACACTATGCCACCCCCACCTCACACCGTGTGTGAACTTATCAAGATTGCTGATCACTTGATGGCATCCACAAAACTCACTGACCACTGCCTCGCCCCTCAGGCACCCACGCATTTATCACATCTAGGCTCGACTGCGCCAACTCCCTGCTTGTCGGCCTTCCCAACTCTTCCCTCCACAAGCTTCAGATCATCCAGAACTCTGCAGCTCCCTCACCAGGCTCCTTGACCCTATCACCCCCGCCCTCGACCGGCTGCAGTTAAAATCTCTCAGAACGTGTTGCTGGTAACAAGAATAATAATAAGCCGGGGCAAAGGTAGATCGTCATCTATCCAAAGAATCACCCAATTCCCCACAATGTATCTCCCTCTGAAGCACACCCTCCGTGGATGGGTTTACTTGACAGATAGCTGTTTGACAGCCTGCAGTAACTGATGGGAATGGATTGGAGTGAGAGAAGAGCAGGGAGCAGCTCAGCAAAGCTGAGCAGAGTTACTGATGATGGGTTTGAAGGGAGCAAATCAGTCAGAGTCGACACCACATTACAGTTTCATAAATGCCGTGACAAGAAAATTCTCAGACGAGAAAAAAACTGCGAGCTGCCCTGTTATCTCTGTCTTGCAATGCCTTTCAACAACAACAACAAAATTACATTTGTATAGCGCCTTTCACGTCGGGAGGATGTCCTGAGACTGTGTCACCCTACAGGGAGCTACATGTATGAAAATCAAAGGTTAACACATAACAATCCTTGCATTTGATATAGTACAGAATCACGTCATTGAGACGTCTCAAAACGCTTCACAGAATATATTGTAAAGTGGATTAACTGCATATTTTGTGGATGAAACAGAGTAGCCAATTCCACACAGCAGTGTCCCACAAACAGACGTGGATTGAATGACCACTTTTTTTTTGTTTGTTTTGTTTTTTTGGAGAGATAATTACCCCCAGAAAGTGAACAGCCAATCGAATAACAACCAGGTTCCTAATTACTTTCAGGCTCTTTGGGAAGCTACCCTACGTGAGGGTGGGGTGGGGGGGTGCTGTATCAATGCACGCTGTTGTTTTTTGCTAGGTAAACAGCTGTCAGGAGTAAGAAAACACGGCCAAGGTTTTGACCCGTCGGGGAATCGAATCCGGGGCCTCTCACGTGCGAAGCAAACGTGCTAACCGCTACACAGCGGGACTCTGTAACACACCGTGTCAACACAGATCGTCTCCCGTAACGGGGGGAAGGTTCTGGGGAGCAATTTCGAGTTCAATGTGTAAACAGCCTCGACCAGATAGCTGTGGTTTGAGACGTGCTTCAGGGGAAACACAGGCTGAGGTGATAAAGATCTGCTCGCTGTCAGCTCGCACTCGCTCTTGCTTGTGGCCTGGCCTCTCCGAGAGATAAACAACGGGGAGATGAGCGCGGGCACAGCACACGGCCTTACCACACGCTGAAGGAAGCCTCTGCTAACTGTGGACCTCACTCATCACCGAGACACTCCATCACCCAGTGCAACTCAACAACAATAAACAACAACAACAACTTGCATTTATGTAGCATCCTTCACACGGGGTAGCGTCCCGGAGCTATTTACAATATAGTCCGACCCCGTGGCGGGGGCGGGGAAACACAAAGCACTCCCTCCCTCCCTCACCCAACTCACTAACTCACCCGACTCACTCACCACACCCACCCAATCACTCACTCACCCCACTCACCCCACCCACCTACCTACCCCACCCACCCACCCACTCACTCACTCACCACGACTGTTTGTGGGACACTGCTGCGCGCAATTGGCTGCCACGTTTCGCCCCATAAAAAATACACAGTCAATTCACTTTACAGTATAGTCTCTGAAGCCCTGTGAATTGTCTCGAAGACGTGATAAGGCACTATATTAAATGTAAGGATTATTATTATTGGGAAGAAGAGAGGGATGGCAAAGAGATGAATCACGGCAGTGAAGAATAAGAACGATTGAGACAGAGAGGGAGCTAAGCATTATTATTATTACTCACTCAATCACTTACTGAGACCCTTGCAATCCCACAGTTGAGTTTGTCGGAACCACTATTGGTTCCCATTACTGATCTGTCCACTCCCTCGGCCCTTCAGCTTTCAGCCTCTCTGCCCCCCACCCTTTAGAACTCAATCTCAAAGTCCCTTCACCTTGCTCCCTCTCTTGCCTCCTTCAAGGCCCGTCTCAAGACCCTCCTCTTCAAACCGGGCCTTCGGTCATCCTCCTATCCCGACCCTCCCTACCCTCCACCCGTCCTGATCCCAACCCCCCAGTTCAGGTCCAAATCATGACTGTCCAGCACCTTGGGATGTCCTCCCAATGTGAAAGGCGCTGTACACATGTAATTTATTGCTGTTGTTAAAACACATGAAGACAGACAGCGAGACGTACCTTCTGCCCATTTTACAGTCCATGACACAGGGCTCATCGAACTCTGCCAGCAAATCATCCAGCTGGATGTAGCGTTCTTCATCCCGCTCGATCATTCCGTGGTACCTGGGCACGAAGGCTCCCAGCGAGTCCGTCACCAACTGCTCAAAGCACAGTCTCTCAATCTCACTGTATTTCTTCAGGATCCTCCCGGAATCACCTGCTTTAAATCCCCCTGTGACAGAAAATCACATGTTTAATTTATATTTCATACACATGGGCGACGGGGGGGGGGGGGGGGAAGGTCACAGGCAGTGTGTGAAGTTGGGGAGCCAGTGGAGCCAGGTAAGGATGGGGGGTGATGGGCTCACGGAGCCTGGTGTGGGAGGAGTGTGGAGTTAGAACGATCTGGAGCTTGTGGAGTTGGGAAGACTGGTGAGGGTGGCGTTGGAGATGTCCAGTCTCAACAGCAACAATAAATTTCATTTACACAGAGTCTTTCACATCCCAAGGAGCTGGACAATCAAGGATTTGGACCCGAGCTGGGGTTGGGATAGGAGGGGTGGAGGGCACAGAGGGTAGGGGTAGGAGGGTGCAGTCAAAGAGGCGGGTCTTGAGACGGCAAGGGAAGAAATGAGATGGAGGGGGCTCCAGGATGGAGTTCCAGAGGGTGGAGACAGAGAGGCTGAAGACCCGACTGACGATGGTGGGATGGGCCGGGCGGGGGACATGGAGCAGGCCGGAGCTTGCTGAGTAGTGGGAGCAGACAGGTCTATATTGAGTCAGCAGGTCACAGAGGTAGGGAGGAGCAAGACCGTGGAGGGCTTTAAAGGCGAGGACGAGGATTTTGCACTCTATCCACTGAGGGATGGGAAGCCAGTGCAGCCAGGCGAGGATAGGGGTGAAAAGATCACAGAGCTTAGTGTGGGAGAGGACACGAGCTGCAGAGTTCTGAATAATCTGCAGGTTGTGGAGGGAAGAGTGTGGAAGTCTTGGGGAGGTGCCAGAGTCAGAAATGAAGCTGGGCGTGGGGGTCACATACCTTGGTGACCTGCCAGCTGAATCCATGAATAGCGTTTCTTAAACGAGACAACGAAGGGCGAGCAATGAACAATGGTCTTGACCTTCCTCCAGGGTTTGTTCTGTAAGGACACGATAACACAGTGAAAGCCTGGCCCCGGTCTCAGAGAACAGCACCATTCCGCTCTTCTGGTCAATCCCACCGGCCACACTCTGGGAACTTTAGCAAAGGTGAGCGTATCACAGGGATGCCTTCAATCCAAATGTCACCATCCAGATCAAAGTTGAGTATTTCGGATGAGACGTTAAGCTGAGGTCCCGCCTGCCTGCTTAGAATGGGCATTGAAGACCCCTCTCTCCCGGTGTCCTGGCCAACAATCCCACGAATAAAATGGGTCGCTCACTCCGCGGTCGTTTGTGGGACACCGCTGCCTGCAACTTGTCTGCTGCGTTTCGCCCACAAAATACACAGTCGTTCCGCTTGACAGAAAATCCTGTGAAGCGCTTCGAGACGCATGACAAGACGCGACATCAAATGCGAGGATTATAAGGATTATTATTATTATTATTATGATAAAACGGATTGTGAAGCAGGAAATTGTTACGGGAAAGGGTATGAGAGTAGGGGTTTGGTTTGTAAGCTCCTATTGGTTATTGTGGATGGTGGGAGGGGAAGGGGGGGGGGCGTGAGGGGTCGGACCTGCCAGGGTATCTGCAGCCTGTGGTAATGAACGGGGCCCACACGCTGATAGAAGGGTACACTGTGATACATGCAAATGAGCCCTGCTCTTGCCTGTTCGTTCGAGCAGAAGGCCCGCATTTTGTTTTTCTGCTGTCACTTCCTCCAGACATCTCACATGCAAATGTGTGGTGGCCTCATCACAACCCTCCATAAATATTCCTCACACAAAACAGGAACCCGCTGTCATCAGCCCTTCCGTACCAAACAGACAAATACGTTTGGGAACTTGGAATCACACAGTTCTAAGCTGACACTCCATCGCAGAGGGTGTTGCATTGTCGGAGACGCCATCCTCTGGATGAGACATTAAAACCAGGCCCCGTCTGTTAGTTAAAAGAACCCAGGACGCTATTCGAAAAGAGAAATTAAGTTTCTCTCTCCTGGTGTCCTGGCCAACGATCCGGCCAATAAAGTTGGTCACTCACTCCGGGTTCTTTGTGAGACTTTAATAATAATAATCCTTGCATTTAATATAGCGACTTATCACGTCGTTGAGAGGTCACAAAGTGTTTCACAGAATGGATTGTCAAATGGATTTACTGTGTATTTTGTGGGCAAAACGTTACACCCTCAACACCCTGTGATAAACAGAAATTGGTGAACAAGCCCTCACTGTCTGACAGAGGTACTGATAATGTTGCAGTATTTTTACTGTGCAGCACTGGGGGGAAGAGGTGGTGGGGGTTGGGGATGGTGCTGCATTGTTACAGAGGTGTCGTCCTTTACGTGAAATGTTAAACCGAGGTCCTTTCTGTCCGTTCAGATCCTGAAACACTATTTGGAAAGAGAAACGTGTTTCTCTCTCCCGGTGTCATTCACCCGACGGCTATTTGTGGGACGTTGCTGTGTGCAAATTACAAAATACACAAAATGCTTTGAGACGAACCCTCCCGATGTGAAAGGCACAACATTAAAGGTGAGAAGCCATGGTTTCAAATCTCATCCGAAGGACGGCACCTCTGACCACGCAAGACATTGCAACTGGAGTGTAATCCTAGACCATGCGAGCTCAAAGTCCCGACTTGGGCTTTGAACCCCACAAGATTGGCACAGAGCTGAGAGACCTGCTGACCCTGAGAGATCATAGAATCATAGAATCGTACCGCACAAAAAGAGGCCATTCGGCCCATCGAGTTTGTGCCGGTTCTTTGAATAGAGCAATTAATGTCAATCCCACACCCCAGCCCTTTCCCCATAACCCTGCAGACCCGTCCTCCTCAAATACCCGTCCACCGCGTTTTTAAAAGTTGTTATCGAATCGGCCTCCACCACCCTTTCAGGCAATGTGTTCCAGATTCGAACAACTCGCTGCGTGAAAAAAAAAATTCTCACCTCCCCTCTGCTTCTTTTAGAGACTATTTTGAATCTGTGACCTTGAGTCACCGACACACACACACCAGTGGAAACAGTTTTTCTCTTTCTAACCTATCAAATCCCCTCATAATTTTGAAGACCTCGATTAGGTCTCCTCGTAACCTTCTCTGCTCCAATGAGAATAATCCCAGCCTCACTAGCCTTTCCTCATAATCAAGATCCCTCATTCCTGGTACCATCCTCTTAAATCTCCTCCGCACCCAATCCAATGCCTTAACATCCTTCCTATAGTGTGGTGCCCAGAACTGGGCGAAGTATTCTAACTGAGGCCTAACCAGTGTTTTATATAGGTTAATCATAACCTCCTGACTCTTGTACTATTTATAAACCCTAGTATCCCATTTGCCCTTTTTACAGCTTTATCTACCTGTCCTGCCACCTTCAAGGATTCATTTACCTGCACCCCCAGGCCTCACTGTTTTTTTACCCCCCACCCCCCTTTAGATTGTATTACCAGCCTACATTGCCTCCCCTCATTCTTTCTACCAAAATGCATTACCTTGTATTTCTCCACATTGAAACTCATCTGCCATGTGTCTGCCCATTTTACCATTCTGTCTATGTCTTCCTGCAGTTGGCTACTATCCTTCTCACTGTTTACTATGGTGGAGATCAGAGAAAAACAGGTGGCTGCACCCACCCCAACTCAACCCAACCCCGACCAACTATTTATAAAATAATTTTAATAAAAAGATTAGTGAAAGAAACACCCTCATGGCCAGCGGAGAAAAGTACAAAGTATTGCATTAAAAATCACAGTTCCTTTATTTACAGCTCCCCACCCCACTCCAGTTCCCACCCCCACCCTAACTCCAAGTTACCCTGAGACCTTTAACTCCTTTCCTGATCAAACCAGTTACAAACAGAAATGTCAGTTTGCAGTGTGAAGGTGCTGTGGTTTTTGTGGGAAACCTGTAAAGGTTCCGCTCAGAAGTGATACTGACTTTTGTCATCCTCTGTTATTAACGGCATGTTCACCAGCACACAGCAGCTGCCACACATACAGAGCGGCAGCAAGACTGGCATCTTTAAATAATTCAGCCCCACAGCTTTCAACTCCGAAATGGCAACTTTAATGCTTTTTTAAAAAAAAAATCCACCACCTCTTTTTATTTTTGTCAACTGGGCGCCTGATAATATGCAAATACTACGCAACACCATGCTTAAGAGTCTCCAAATCATGCAGAGTCGCACCTATGTATGTGACCTGCATAGGGAACAATCCTTGCATTTGATATTGTGCCTTGTCACCCCTTCAAGACGTCTCAAAGCGATACACAGAATATACTGTAAAGTGAATTGGTTGTATATTTTGTGGGCATCTGTATATTTTGTGGGTGAAATTTCCCTGAGTCTGGAATAATAAACAGTAATAATAATCCTCACGTCATTGAGACACCTCAAAGCATTCCATATGATTTACTCCAGTGTCTGTGTATTTTGCAGGTGAATGTAGCAGCCAATTTGCGCACAGCAAGATCAATACCCCGACCCCCAACCTTCTGATTCAGAGGTGAGAGCCAGGCTGACACCTGATCGTAGACAGTGCAAAGTACTTCATAGGAAATTCCTGTGATTTGTGTCATGTGGTTCGTCTCACCTACACCTCGAACTTAACCTCTGGGACTCCCTCATTCTACTCCTCCGTCTTGCTATTTCTATCGCTATTGGGCTTTAACTCCCGCCTTTAGTCGTCTATCTGGTTCCTCTTGAAAGCTAATATAGCCTGCAGAGCATTCCACATCATAACAACATAACTGTGTTAAAAAAAAACTTTGTTAATTTGCTAAATATCTTACATCAAGCAACCAAAAGGAATGTCCTCAAAGCTGGACACAGACAGAGCCCAGCACTCAACACTGTAGATGTAGATGAGAACCTATCAGTCATAATACTAAAGACTCAAATACTAATCCGCACATACACTGCGAGTCTGATACTAAAAGCGCGTGCAGCCAGTAAATATATATCCCGGCACTCAATAATGTACATGAGCTCTGCGGCCCTGCCTGTCAGCAATGTAACACTAATCAACATACCAGCACTGAGATCCAATCCGCCACAGCTCAGCAACACACAAAGAGAAACCTCAGACTCAAACAGGCAGTTCAGTTCCACCCTCACAACAACAACAATAACGACTTGAATTTATATAGCGCCCTCCACGCCGGACGACGTCTCAGGGCGCTTTGCAGTAACGGATCCCGAGACCGAGCCGGTGGGGGGGGGGGGAAGGTGACCAAAGGCGCGGTCGAAAAGAAAGGTCTTCAGCAGGGACCTGAAAACGGGAAGGGAGGGAGCGAGGCGAAGGGAGTGAATGTACACTCACAAGCCAATGGAGTGAACGCAAATTTATCTGGTTAAGACTACAGCAGTTATCGCACCGCACACTAATTCTGGAATGTATTAGACGCAGGTTGTGAGAGCCGCGGCTTGGCTCTTGCCAACCTGCGTCTAATACATTCCAGAATTAGGTAAGCAGGATGCATCCCTGGAGGGAGAGAGCGCGCAGTCCATTGCAACAATCTACCTCTGGGATTTCCATGTGTAGGTGGGAGGCGTGGGATTCTCAGTTCGGTTTGGATACTCTTAAGCAGGTGATGGGTTTCCTCATGTATCAGACGGCCGCTGACCAGAAAAAAAGGGAAGTTCTGGTCTGCTCCAGCCTGAGAGCAGCTCTGCTTTTCCAGTGAATATCACTGAATTCCACATTTTCAACATTGCATTAATCATTGACAGCATCTTGTACATCACCACTCAGGCCCACCACACACTGCAGGGCACAGATGCCAACCGTGTTTTTTAAAGGAATTTCTTTATGAAAGTGGCTGAATTGATTTGCGTTTCCTAATGTTTTATCACCGTGAGCCATCTCTATTCATTGGCAAATTGTTTGCTGTTCGGTGAAGTGATTGCTTTTTGTGGGTAAACATGGCAGCAATTTATACCAGTCAATGTCCTATAAACACCAAGAGGTTAATGAGGGGCAGGAAACTGGGAGAAACT